CGTCTACTGAATTTAATCGCACTGATTTTAGGTATCTGGCTCTCTGAAGGAATTCCATCGGTGTCTTTGGCATCATTAAGGCAATATGTTTGTGCAGTTGAGGGACTGTTTCCACTCCTCTCAACAAACACGACACAAGATATTCTGGCTGTGTATAACCACTACGATCTGCCAAGGATAACATTGATTGAAAATACTGCTCGAATGTCTCACTGGCTGGGTTAAACTTTCGTGTCATCAGTTGCTGCATGGAATGAAAGGTTTTATCCGGATCCCGAAGCGCTCTAACAAACGTTTTCTGGCTTCTGCGTAAGTAGTAATCGGCGTTGAAGATGCCATAATACCACTAAACCATGTCGCTGCCTCTTCCTGAAGTGCACCGGCAAACCGGTTTAACGTTTCTTCTTCATCCCAGCCTCCTGCTTTTTGTGCAAGCTCGAACATGGTGAGGAAACCCTCAACCATGTCCTTTGCACCTTTATACTTTGGCACATAACAGTTTTTACTTTTCTTACTGCCCTTACTGCCTACTGCCTGCGGTAATAACTTAGCGAAACTGTTAGACTGTGCTTCCAGTGCTTTACTGATAATACTGCCAAGATCCATTTGTGGTGGTGCCACAGAAGGATGCGGCTGTGAAATGCCGGGAATATTCTCTGGCTGTTCATCACTAATTGTGATGATTTCAGTATGTATCTGCCTGGGCCGTCGCGTTGGGCGCCGGTGAGTAGTTGTATCCCTAGGGATCTCAACTATATCCGGTTCCCTTTCACGACGATTCTCAGGCCTTACTGTCGATTCTACGCGCTTTTTCTGAATACGGGTGGCTGGTGGGGGAGGGGCTGGTTGACCAGGGAGCGGTTCGTCGATCAGACAAGCCTCATACTCCCCACAAAGTCCCTTATAATGATTATATCTGCCTCGGAAATGGTTCAACTCATCCTGGAGGATTTGAGACTTCTGAATCTCTTCCTGGATACGCTGATGAGCTTCCTGCTGTATTCTCTGCCTATCTTCATATGCTTCCTGGGCTTCTGCATGCGCTCTCTGGACTTCTTCCAGTGCCTGGTGTACATTCATGCCCGTTTTATCGTCTCTGGCTAAATTATCATTTAACTGCTTATCTCTGGCTTTTATATGCCGCTTCTGAAAATTAATCACGTTTTCCTGGCGGTCTACAAGTTTTTCCAACTCTGCGAGCTTGGCTTCAGCTGAGTTTAATTTTCCCCGATCTTGGAAAGCATCCATCTTCGCTTCTGCCCACATTGCTCTCAACCGAGCAATTTCCTGATTTAAATCCACGGCTTCCTGCGGCGTATGAAATGCCGCTGGATCGGTCGAGGATGGTTGCTGATTATCATCCTGAATACGACTCTGTTCGTTCTCTGGCTTTTCATGTTCTTCATCACTGATTTCCTGATCTCGATGCTGACCTCCGATAATGGAGTCGGCCTCATCCAAATCTGAATTTACTGGCGGCTGGACGTTCCCTGTTGATTTACGCGTAGGAGAACGTGTCATTTTCGAACTTCTGGCGAATGCTTGCTGCTGATTTACACTCTCAAGAGTGTGATACGGGACATCATGCCCAACTGCCTTCAACTTCTGCGCCTTTGACCTCGAAACGCGCTCCTGTGCCGGTATTCCTGATTCATGGGACTGCGGTTCATTATCTGTTTCTTCCGGTTCTGTCTGCACTGCCTTTGCTGGGGTTACCGATTTACGAAAAAAGAAACTCATTTTTTCTGGCGTTACAGATACAATACTGTAATAATCTGGATTAAACAGGCGAATATTTCGCTGATTTATTTTATGACTGAATTGTTGCAAATTTGGAAATTAATTTCCAAATCGCAACCGGCTTCTACGGATAAAAATATCGGTCACTGATTTCTGATGTGCGGAAATCGCTTGCCTGGAAATAGGCAGACGATTATGCAAGAGGTTGTTTTCAAAAGTGAATTTGAAAGTTTCCTCTCTGGCCTGTGTCTGTAAGCTACGTGCGTCAAGCGGCTATTGTACTCGAGCGAGCCGAGAACAAAAGCTGGCTTGCTGGCTGGTTATCAGCGATGAAAATCTTTCAACGCTGATTGCGGATATGCCTATGAATACGATGAACTGCGTGCAAAAACACGGAAATTCACGAAAGACAGTAACCTTTCAAGAATTCCGCTGATTTTGCGCTGGCCAAAAAGAACTGAATTTTCTGATCAAAATGTATTGGCAATTCTGGCTATAAGATTCGAGAATCTGCGCACGATACTACTAATAAAAACTGGCAACTACTCAGTGTATTTCGTGAAGGAAATACACCAAATAAATCACTGAAGTTTTAATAATACAACCGCTGATTTTCACTGACAATTTCCCTGGTATTCTGCTAGAAATGCTGCAAGAAATTCTGGCTACGATAAAAGGATAATTCACTGGCAATATCACTGAGAATGTAAAAAGCAACAAGTGGTGTAACACTGTGAAGTCACTGTACACTGGCTATACAAACTAGATTTAAGAGTTTTTCTGGCTACGAGTTCTCTGATGAATGCTGGCTTGATGCGTGAAATTTAAATTTACCAGAAAGTACACAGGTGTCGCCTGATGTACTGATAATTAGGTTAGTGAGGAAAGAAAAATGAAAAGAAAAATGCGTGAAAATTAGCCTGTTAAGCAGGGCTTACTTCGCTGTCTTGCTGCTGGGCTTGCTGATTGAGTTCTGGTAGGTGGTTTTAGCACCGTTTTCGCGCACCAGAATGCTGGCTTCACTGGGATGATGATGAAGGTGTCCGGTTGGAAGGACTATCCGCAGATCTCCGAGGGGGTGGAAATCCACAGACCGATCTTCGAGAACCGACACGAATCTGCTACCATGCAATACGGGCCTTGTTCTACGTGAGGTGCCCGCTGCTATATCTATCGGAAATACAGGACGAGAACACAACAGGAAGACGTAAAATCCTCTTTTACTCTTCCCAACACCATAAAAATCACCAAAAATCACTATAACATAGCGCATACTATGACACAGGGATGTGGCTGACAAGCTGACATAAAACACACTGCGAGCTGTGCAAAAATGATCCGTTGATCATCTGCATATCACCGATACGCTGATACGCTGGCTCTGAACCGGATGTACGTGTGCACTCGGTAGGCACTCGTACATCCACTGCTGAATATACCTGCAATGTGGCTGCATACACTGGCAAATACATACAAAATACGTATCTCTGGGCGATCCTCCGCAAGGCGGTACGAGACGTCTATAGCCTGACCACCTCCACGAAGTCTCTCTCAATGCCGATGTTGGTTTGAACTTGAAAGCGACGGTGCTACTTCCTGCTGGCTGGGATACATTCAGGAAATCATGGGAAGGAGATACCAGTGGTAATACACGACCTTGGCTAATCATCCGTTTCGGCTGACTAAGCAAGAAGCCAGCCGCCCGCAACACTCATTCATTCAACAAGCTTTTGAACTTTATTCTGTGTCTGTTTTCTAGTGATGATTAAACTCTTAATTTTGCTGGGAATTAAACATTATGATTAATTCAATTAAAATTATGGCAATTTTGATTATGCTGAGCATAATTAAAATTGCGCATTTTTAATTAAGCTTAAGCATAATTAAAATTCGTCAATTTTAATTATACTTAAGCTTAATTCTGAGTCAAATTATGAACAATATAAATAGCCTGATCAAAAGAAAACTGAATTTTAATTATGATAGGCAAAATTAAAATTGGACAATTTTAATTATGCTCCAGTTTAATTAAAATTGTTGAATTTTGATTATGCTGATCATAATTAAAATTGATCAATTTCCAATTATGATAAGCTTAATCAAAATTATAAGCAAAATAATTATGATGAGTTTAATATTCACTACTGTTTTCCGAGGACAAAAGCTCATGCAGACTGATGGACAGTAGAGTACAGAACACATTTGCAGTTCTCACTTGCAGAAATATTACATTTTATTACTGAGATTTATCACTTCTAAGCCAGACTCGGTATGGAACTATGGTAATAGCTAGCGGTAGCGGCAAATGTGTGCAGTGTGCACAAAATCTTGAACCTTTTTCGTGGTGCAGCTGTCAGTAGCATATATAACTTTGGCCACAACCAACGGTTCCGAGCCATGTCTCTGTTCTATCCGGCCATTGTGCCAAAGATCCTCGGAGGTCGCAGGAGATGCCTTAGACACGATGCCTGGCTTATTAGTCATACAATATACATACTGTAGGTAACAAGGGAATTACGCGGACAATACAGTATTTTTTCAATAAAATCAACAGATGGCTACTTGAACATCCGCCGCGCCCACTCGGCACACCACTAGCGAGAAACAGAGCCGGATCAATACCGGTAATACGAAGAGTCAGACATCTTTCTCTGTTGGCTGGTATACGGCCAGTGCAGCGCACCATGGTGCATAAGTTATGATTCATAGAGATAAGAACGGGTATGTTAAAAAACGGAGCTCTGCAGCGCGTTATCTCGAATACGTGCGGTATAGTTGTTTTGACCATTCAGAGCGTAGATAAGCTCCGGATCGTGATGACACACGTTACCAGTCGTTTCTACTGCGCATAATGCACAAAAAACCTACATAGGCGTTGGAAGATACCCGAATGTCTGAATCTGAGCAATGTAAGCATTAAAAATTAAACCTAAACCTAAATGAAGACCGATGAGTAGTCGATGTTTGTACAAAGCGTCGGTCAGCTGCATCTCGGTTTACAATGATGAACGTGTACGTAGGCGGTAAGCAAAACGTGCAAAATTTTCCCATCGGTCGGTCGATTGCATTTTACCAACCGTTTCGCTACAGCGTTTATTTCGTCGTTTAAACACTTTGTCGGTAAAAGAAATGTTATTTATAATCGGACGGCCATCTGTAAACGTATTTTTGTCCTATGAGCAATTTACTTTAATTCTCGGCTGCAGCTGACTGCGAGCATGGTGGTCATCCGCAAAAAAATTAAAGGGTGTAATTTTTATTGATAGTACTTCAATAGTATATACAGTACATCAAACATGTAAGTTGATGTAACCACCGGTTGTCGCCACCGACCACGATTAGCTTAGTGGTGTAAGGAGTAATAAGAGCGTTGTTAGAAAAACTGAAGAACGGAGTGTGCCGGTGGCGCCGAAGCTGTAGTACAGTTGTTGATAGAACTGCTGCCACTGTTCGTCCATCTCAGGCTCGCCCTTTGGTAACGCGAACCCGAAATAGTCAGCAAGTATATTGCCGTATCTTGCCCGCATCCGTTCTTTCTCCCGTTGTTCCTTCTGTTCCTGCAGTTCGCTGGCGTTTAGAAATGTGACATGGATGGCCAAACCCGAATAATCCCTTTCCGAGTCTGGCGTTGTCAGGTCAGCTTCCTCCGGTGAGCATTTGTACGCTCTCCTCAGCTTAGCGATATCTAGTGGACTCAGGCCATACCGCTGCCCCATTCTTCGTGGCGGTGGATGCATCCTCGACACGATGGCTGGTTGGTCGTGCATTCTCGAAACTTCCAAACCATAGTGCATTAGTGATTCTGGATCGTACGGAAGTCCGAACGTGGCCATTTGTGGAAATATTTTGTGATTTATTTCGGGGATGCCCGGGTACATTTTACTGGCATCTACGTGTACGTACGCATCGCGGTCGGGCCGGCTGTGTTCATGTAGAAAGCCCAACGCGTGCATGATTTCGTGTTGGATTATACCAGGCGGTTCTAGGCACAGCCAGTGCATTGTTACTCGCGTAGCGCGTCCGGGAATGCGGCCGATGTGTCCTGGCACACTGTGTAATTAGACCGTCGGATTTCAATATACGTTTCTTCGGTTTGCCGCGGCTTGAACTCGATACATTCTTTACTACGCCATTCAATTTCATTTAGTGCGTCCATTATTTTCTGTCTTTCTTCGAGATCTACAAATAACGATACAGTTATCTACCACCCATAGTACTTCCGTATAAATGTGCTTCCCGAACTCGTCAAAGAAAATCGGCAAGAGCATACGAAAATACCGTAAATATCAGGTTCTCAGCTTACTAAATTCGTGTATTTCGTAGGGGATTGGCTGGTGGGAAGGCCAGTACCCGCTTGCAGACAGAAACCCTGTGCTGTCCACAAATGTATCGAACGAAATGGCGTCGTCCATTAGGATGTCGCCGTGTAAGAAGGCTGGGTTCTCTGTACGGAACAATAAATTATCAGCAGTTTTATTATAATATCAAGTTGTGACAGTGGGATACGGGAGACCGGCATCCAACATACTCGTACGTATACGTACTATTTTTTTATGCGGAACCTGACCACGTATTAACAATCAGCAATTTTCTTCACATAGAAACATTGCCTGCGTGAAAGCGCTTTGCTCTTATGATGCACTGGAACGACTGGAACGCCAAGATCGATGAAATTATCGAAAATGTTAACTCCATCTTGTATTGTACGCAACAATCATATACTCGGCAGAAAAAGAGAGGGTTGTTGGAAACAGAAACAGCTTCAAAAGCAGCGCGCAGTTCCCCTTTTATCGGCCGGCCATACAGTCAACTTTTGATGCTCATATTGACATTGTAGCGCTCGCGGTAGCATTTGTCGAAGGAGTGTCACGACGAGTCGAACGGATATTCCGCTTTGTTAGTCAGATTGTCTATTGATTTTCTCATTATTCTTTATGTACGTACGTTGCTTCACAGATTACCTAGCGTCGCTAACAAGATAAAAATAAAAAGTAAGTATTTACATCTCTGATTACACACAACGATATCGCCGGTTAACGCGACGGACAGCCCGTACGCAAATATACTTACGGTAATTTCAGTTTCTGCCTGGTGTATTGTACTTCGTACTTCTGTGTATGGATACTGTGTGGGGATTTCTGTTTGACCAGAAAGCAGCATCCACCTGATCTGCGGCATCGCCGGTCGGCCACCGGTTAGTCATCTTGCGCCGGTGAGAGTGCTGCGGGCGCGATACACACCGCCAAAAGCAACAACAATGAGGCACTCTCTGCTGGCAACATTATCCATCTGCTTATCCGTCAGCATGAATCGCTTTGATCCATCCATTTCTCATTGTACGAGTAGATGAGCTGAAGGAAATTTTTCTTTTATAGTTTAGCGTGTTTCTTTTTATATTAGTTTATGTAATGCGCTTTCGATTTTACCAATAAAGCCCACCACCATAGTAATTCGACGGTTTATGTTTATTCCCTGTCACTTGAGGTGGCGGCAAAATTATTTGTAGATTTATTATGAACCGCCACTGAGGGCGCAGACAACCAACTGAATATCGACAACAGAACAACAGTGGCATTCTGCTACTGCAGTTGCTATGTTCCAATCTCTTGGCATCAGTGCCACTGCACTACGCCACATTTTGTGGTTGATAAGGCCGCACGAGTCCCTAATCCATATAAACTGGTTCCCATTAATTTTTTCTTTTCCTTTCTGTCTCTGCACGCTGTCCGACTGTTTAGCCTATTGCAGTGCACAATACAGTACAACTGCAAATAAATACTTGCACACATTTAGTCATGCATAGTAATACCGTATTTATCAAATTGGCCGCATTGGGCGACAAATACATAGTTCGAATACCGCGGAGCAGGTGCGCTTATTTTGTGTATGCTTTAATTTTTCAAACCTAAATTTCAGAGGGGGCTATTACTTTTCGAACAGTAAAGTGGACCATTATTTTTGAAACACTACATTTGAGCGCAGCAGTTACCGGATAGAAGTATAGAGAAGAAGTACAGGAATATGCATTTAGCACAGCTTCCATGCAGCATCCCGGTACAGATTGCCGTACAGATTGTACTGTATACAATCGCCTGCCACTTGCCAGGATTGACCACCACATGTACATTTTTATTTCTGTTTTTCGACTTTGGCTTTGCGATCACTATTTCAGCTGTGTGATTAAATCTTACGTTTTAAAACGCAATTCGGGATGTAATTATCCGTTTATTTGGCTTGGCATTTAAGGGATTTGGCCCGGTACATAGTACCAAGTTCGGGTATATATATTCTGTCGAAATTTTTTTGCAATGCTTTTTTTTAGCCAAGGTGAAATAGGTTTGCGTTTAACATTCGGGAGTTATTATGAAATAAAATTCCAAAGTTTAAACGCGCGGAGGTGTACCAAAAGTCTCATTATGAATCCGATGCTTCAAATTTTGCACGAAAAAACACCATGAAGATCGTTTATACCGAACCAGCTTTCTACCATTTTTTCAAATTTTAAAACGAATTTCAAAAATTCTAAAATTAATTAAAAATTTGAAAAAATGGTGGAGAGCTGGTTCGGTACCAAAATGATCTGTATCGTAATGTGCGTTTTCGTGCAAAATTTGAAGAGCATCGGTACATAATCACACTTTTGGTACACCTCCGCGCGTTTAAACTTTTGGAATTTTATTTCGCTAATAACTCCCGAACCGGATGTTGCGCGCGCAAACGGATTTCACGCCTACGTATGCAAATCCTTTGGCTACAAAATGCCATAAAGCAATGCAAAAAAGTGTTTAGGAGTGCGCGACAGCGAAAGTCCTCGGGTATGTACCCGAACTTGGTATTATGTACCGGGCCAAATCCCTTAATAACGGCATCCGGTGCTCTAATTTTGTGAGGTGCCTTTCTTTTTCGAATATGGATGGGGAGGTGCGCAGATTGCGGTTGCCACAAATTCCGGTATATAACAATAAAGTTTCTACTGCTGTATAGCACTGTATATTGAGTGCATGTATTGGTGGCGTTAGCAGCTGTGTCATGTGTGTGAGGCAGCAGAAGGTGCGAATCATTATTTAGCTTTTTATATTTCTTGTGGATTGCGCGATTTTCTAAATCGATTGTTTGACCAGACTTGAAGTCCCTTTGGGGTTTTCTGCTCTTGTGCAGTAATATGTTATATAATAATATGGTTTTAGTTTCCTAAATTTGTTCACTAAATTGATAATACTGTAAATCATTCTTTATGGTACGAGAAAATACGTAAATAAGCAAAAACGATATTGATGACTTTTTGGCACCCTGCGCTCTTTGCATAAAATCCAAAAATGCCTTACTCAGCTTTTCGGTAATAATAACTCGCTTTAAATATTCCCTGCGGCTGCTGAAATCTGCAATATTTATAAAACTTTCATAAATTTTAAAAATAAAGTTTCTCATTCAAAAATTTCTTTGATACGTCAACAATTAAAATTAATGATATTATGAATATTGCTTTACATATCTACACTCTACAGCGACGTGTATCGCTTCTAGCTTCGAACGTTAGTTGACTCAATGCCTGCACGGGTATACTACGGAATAACACCGGTGCACCTAACCGATAAAGTTTCTCCAAGTGCTGCGGAGTTAGGATACAGTGCATCTCCCGGAATGCAAATCAATATTATCGATCGGAGCGTAGCGAAGATCCTCTTAATTCAGCACCAATGCAAAAATGTCTCTGTGTCCGTTACGGAAGGTTGTTACGAAAGGTCATTACGAAAATACTGCTGGTTGGTCATGTTGCTAAGTCAAAATTATTGATGTAAATTGTTAGGAGTGCTACTGGTAGTACGTTCGTTAAAAATTAATTATCATTCGCACAAGCGAAAAGCTGCTGCGCTCCGATCTGCCAATGCACGCCAACGTGCATTTTTCCTAGTGTAGTTGTTTGCAGCTGAACGGAAAATTAATCGCTAATTTAATCACCAACGACAACTATTTTGTGGCTGCACGACTCGGCTGCTTAGCAACGAATGAGTTATAGAGGGGATCCGTGCGTCCCACTGTGCAAACTAGTGCAGATAGTTGCGAGTATAAACGACGCAGTTTGCAGCGCTTACATCAATAATTTCTTCAGTCGTCTTGTCTTTCGTGGACGGCACTGCACGAAACCAGTTGAACGTATATCGCTATCGGCTATCGAAGATGGACAGCATCCGCTACATTACGTTTTTCTTGCTGGCAGTAACGCCTGGTTGCCTGCTGCAGGGATACATCGCCGAGCAACCGACACCGCGTAAGTTCCGGCATGACCTTTTGTCCTTTTCCACTGATAATGCGTGTCAGCTGGGCGTTTGCAGTTGCAGTGCAGCGTACAGCCGAGGCCGTACGGCAGGCCGAAGCCAACATGACCGACAACGCCGTCATCGTTCTGCCGGCCCTGAAGGAAGACACCCTCAACGGCGTGCGACCGCCGCCTTACGTCGTCCGCGCCCCGCTCCTCGGCATGGCGACCTTTATCTGCTCGACCGCCGCGGCACGGCAGATCGTCTGGCACCACCAGAACGCCTCCATTCACGGCGACGTACTCCCGCCCACCGGCAAAGACTACAGCTTCTACCGGCAGGCGACGAGCGAAAACCACAGCTACCTGCACATCCACCGCGTCAGTCGCGACTCCGGCGGGGCGGTGGAGTGCTGGCTGCCCTGTGGTCCCACGCAAGCGCTGTGCCACGTGTGGACCTACAATTTCCTGCCGGAGCTGCGCGCCCAGGACGTCTTCCTGGCCCCCTTGCGCAACGTGTCGACACCACTCCCAAAGTTCTCCATGACCTGTAGCGGGCGTGTGGACTGCAGTGAGACGGGCTGGGAAGCGCACTTCATCTGGAAGTACGACGGGCGCTTCGTGGCGGCGCCCTACCATGACCTGCGCACCATTGCCGGCCACTCGCACACCCCCGGTCTGCTGCACAGCACCATCGACGCCAACGTGTCGGCCAAGCTGGCTCGCCATACGTTCTGCGCCAGCACGCTGACCATCACCCTGAGCGAGACGCCCAGTCCGCCGTCGGTGCGGGTGGACTGCTGGCTGCGGCCCGATCTCCATAACCACCGCTGGTTCGTCCAGTCGGCACACGTCCATTTCACGTCATGGCGGCAGTAGATGGCCAGACAGATAGACAGCGGCACTCGTCGAATGCAGCGCAGCATGTGCACTTGGGCCGGCGTTCTCCCGTTGCTGTACCGTGACTTGCGGTTAGAATTTCTCATTTAAATCTATGTACGGTAATTGCGCGCGGACGGCAAAGATACTTTTGACGGAACCAGTACCGGAAACCTAATCCAGATTTTTATTTGTATTGTTTGTTTGGTTGTGTTGTTTGAAAGGGTCAATAATACCGAAAACGGCTTGTCACCGGTTGTTCCTTTATTCGAAGACGAGAAACCTTTACGTAACTACAGGCAAAACATGGTTTATGCTACACATACTACGCAAAGCTAGTCCGCAAAGCTTTGCAGCAAGACGAAATAATCGCCACTGTCTCATCAAGTTTGCCGTTCTTTATGGCAGGAGAGGTTCATGATGCATCCAACGCATCTTAAGGGATAAAGAAAGCGATAATGAACTTACAACAAATCAAAACGGTCCCACTAAACCGCCGGCATGTCAGTTTTCCAGCCGGGCGCTGACAAAGTGCAATCCGATACGGAAGTTGCCACCTGTGCAGAAAGCATTAATTTTATACCAGCTTTTACCATGCCGATTGGTTGCACTTACGACAGCAGGACTGCTGAAGGTTTGCGAAACGAACCGTTTGCCAGAAAAGTATCTTTTATCGGCGATGTACAGTATAATGCGTCTTGTGGACAACTGACAGGCATCTGGTCATAAGCCATTAAAATGCTGCTTGTACTTGTACATACGTACAACAACAATACAGACTGTAGAATCATCCACACACTCGTTTTGGTTTGGACTTTATCGAAAAACCGGTACTTACCGTGAACATCGCTGTGCGTTACGTACTGTGTTACACGCTTGCCGTAAGCATTTTCGCAGCGGTTTTGTGGAATTGCAGTGTTTATTTGTTTACAATAGCGATACTTTAGTGATAATTATATTAACCACAACCCCTATAATAACCGTCACTTGTGTATGTACTCGCAGAATGTCGACACGGGAAAGCGTAATAAAACAGCATCGGAGTGTTGATGACTTCAAACGTAATTGAGTGGAGTGTGGACTAGGAAAAGACGTTGCAAGCAGCGGCTAATTAACGATTACAGGACTCCTTGATGATAACTGGAGTTGTTGTGCCTCAGTAAATCTGGACGATTACTCTCCACTGCATCGAGAGGTTGGCAGCGTTGCGGCAGCCAATTAAAACTCTTGTGGAATTAAAGCCGCCACTCGGTACACTATACAGAGTACAAGCGTGTGCTGCAAAATGCGGATTAGCCGGGCGTAAATAGAGCGAAGATTTCGGGATACGGCATTATCGGGTTGGGCACTTGTGGCGGGATTTGCGGCTAGATGCGGCCACTTGACTGTCCTCCCGCCGCATCCAGCGGAAGCCGCGCGGCAGCGGATTACCGTGTTTGCCGTCTAATTTAATAAGGACTCATTACATGCACTCCACACTCGATACGGCATCATCTACGCGGCGCGGCTTTAACCTCTTGATCCCTCGGCGCACCGCTCTTCACCGCCCGTCTTAACACCCGACACCATGCGCGTCCAAATCCAATTACGCGCTAATTACGCGCCTCCCTGTAACACAACGCCCCGCTGATGCTATACAATTTCACATAATAATCCACTGCGCATTAGAAGTGTATATCATCACACGCCGAACAATTTCGCCTTGGCAGCGGCATCATTATTATCGCGCTATATGTGCAACCGGCTCATTTTACCGCAATCATGCATTTTCGATCACAAACAGATACATACCAGTAATTTCGCCATGCACACCGTCAATCAGAGCGCTCCAGTTTAGGATTAACACAGTTCCAACGGATCATTCACCTCGTTGCGCCGTAAATGCATAAAGCCGCGTTAAGTAATTTCACCGCTATGTGGAAATTAAATCCATCGTGTTAAATGATCGTTTTCCTTTGATCAACTGCATCGCCACAACATCAACGGGAATTCGCAGTTGATTATACTGCAAATGTGAGAAGCTACCTGTCCGTTCTTTTCTGTGGCAGGCGGACGGGCAGCGGTATTGTTCGTCCGGGGCTGTCAAATCAACAAAAGGATGCAATTTCCTTTATGGAGAAGTAAAGTTAGTACCGGCGAGCGGGGACAATGGGCGCCGGTTAAACAACTGACATCTGATCGCTGAATTAGGCGCATCCAGGTAAATAAACGAGCGTGCCGCATAAAGACGGACGTCCACTCGCCCTCGGGAGAATTCAGCGCGCCGTTTGTCCCGTCACTTCCCGCTATTCACGCCCGCAGCACTACCGGCATATCAGCAGTTATCGAGAAAAATAGTCCCTGCTCCCGTGCATTTCCATTGGATGTACATCGATCCACACTAACAATTACATTTCAATTAAGGATAAACATTTCTTTGCCGGTACATTGCAGATAGACAGGTGTGTCAGTCATCCGATTTAAACGACAACAAAGGTCACCAGCATGACAGATTCTCTAATAAGAATTACATCAACTGCACATTCTGTAACTGAATTATGTATACCACTACATATAGTGAATTAGCCAAAAGGAGAGCTAATAATCATAATAAATATTCGCTACAAGAACTAAACAGTCTGATGTGAAGGCTGGGCATAAGCGAGCAAAAGAAGTGACTGGAAGATGCACTGTTTGCGAGTTAGTACAAATACCACTTCGCCGTGTTTAGCATCAATACTTACGTACGCCAATGCAATTATACAAGCTCTGTGTAGTGTGTACAGCGCAGTGCAGTGCGCAGCGGCGAGCAATTACACGCCGGGAAGAGGGATCATTAGCCCGGGAACACAATAGGCCGGATGCTGCTGCTCTGGCCCAACAACGTGGGCCGGGCCATCCATCCTCGCACAATCAACTTACCTGCGCTGCGTCGGCAACAATGAGCCGGCGCTGGTATAACCACGGTACCGTTACCTAGAGCACTCTTCCCTGCTCGTATTGGCTGAACAGTTTGCTGTGTATTCACCGGCACAGACACAGGCACATGAACCAGTCCGTTACGCGTACGACCACCCACTTCACACTGGCCGCTCCACTCCGGAAGCGGCGCTGTGCAGCGGATACCGGCAAGTGCATATATCCCGCTCCTATGCTCTCCTGTATCCCTCATCCTGTACCATCCTATCCCGCCGGCGAACGACTGGATTTTAATATGCCCGCGGCGGAACGGAATTGTGGCTTCATCGTGTCAGGAAATGAGGCGAGCCGTTGCATGGGATCTCCGCCAGCCGCCTTGTGCATGCCGATACCGTCTTGCTTATTCCGATCCGCTGCTAGATAACTAGCGCTCCCGTATGAGCAACCTACGAATATAATTCCAGTTTCCTCTTCCGCACCAATTTCCCCTGCTTATATCCGTAGCTAACCGCGCGTTTCCTTCCCGCCACCCTCGCCTTCCGTGATTCGGGCTGGTTAGAAGCGCTATACTCCTCATCTTCATCCTTGTGCCGCGAAGCCCCATTGTTGGCCGTCCAGTTATTGTGAGACGCGGGGCATAAACAGGAATATATTGTGCTGGCGCCGGAGATGAATCTCAGCTGCGGCAATCTCTTGCCCGGATATTACGCAGCGCCGCCGGCCAGTCAGAGCCAGAGCAGCAGCGCCGGCACACATTCCAGCTCCGTCATCATCCAGGCCAACCGGGCCAACAGCAGCGCCCTGCTTTCCCCGGCGGCGTCGTGCGGCAGTGAGCAGCAGTCGGAGACGGGACCGTCCCTGGCCGACGCCGCCGTCTCCGCTGCCGCCTCCGGCATGGACAGTACCGGTCAGATGCCGTCCGGCAATTCGGTGAGGGCATAATTAATTGCTACGCACAAAATATCCCGTACAGACAATCGATTAATATCTATCCCAACGCACGTCATTTAATTACTGCAGCGCAGTGTAAGTAATTCTATTTAGTTCACTTGAGATCTGCAGTTAATCAGCTATAAACAGGCACATATGCGATATATGGTATTGTAACAAATTTGCTGCTGCATGCAGGAAAATCTGCTCGGTGTTATCAGCGTAACCTGACTGTAAAGGTCACGTTTTACGCGCTAGCTCAATCTACTGCGCGTCAGCGGAAGCACGACCTTTGCGCAGCGGCCGCTCACGTTGGTGGGGAGACTGTGAGCTGCAGCGCAGGTAAATGGCTGCTTTGCACTGCCTTCGGCTTTCGATCGATAATCGGCAGGCGGTAGATGGGCCACACGGGAGCCGTCTCACTGCGTGGCTTACGCTTAAGGCCGCAAATATAATTATTTCTATCATCATTTGTAGGGATTCGGAGCGCAGTAAAAGTTTAATAGTACTGTAATTAATTATTGTAGTGTTACTAAAAACGCATTTTGATGAGGCTGTTGTACAGTACTCTGTACACAGTGTACAAGCCGGTCCGGAGTTAGAGCACGATAGAGAACAGCGAACAATTTAAATTAATGAGCCGCGCCAACTGTAGTGCAGTGGCTATCGACTCAGCGCTAACATCGCGCTTATTATGCGATAGCTGTTCTGTATCGCGCTCTAACTCCGGACGGGCTTGTACAGTACTTTAAATAAACGTGCAGCGGCTGTTTTGGGTACACCTAACGCACGTCCTAAGATCATGCGCGACACTAACGATTTCGGATGTTTTTCAATGTTTGAAAATTTGATGGTTTTTAATTTGTGTAAACCTGCGTAGGCGATTTGTTACGTATGCTGGCCGAAGCCGAATAAAATCACAGTATGTGCAGGGTGTAATATATAGATCAGAATTAACGTAACCAATGTAAGCGTACGGTAATCAGACGTATAATGAAAGCACTGGTTTCTATGGCAAATTATCAGCATCCGTGAACTTTTCTAACCGGTTACCACGGTGCGGGGCCATTGGGATGTGCGATTCTGCAAAAACCTAATATCGTTTGTCAAAATAAAACATCTTGGCAGTGCACTATTTGGGCTTAGAGACCTGTGACCTTTGCAGCTACGGCGATAAATTGCCGGATGAGAACTGAGATGATTACGACAAACGCAAATCACAGTCTCTAGTTAACCCTATAGAACCGGAGTGGGTCATGGTGACCCAGGCAGTGCCAAAAACATTAGATAACGTTTGTTGTTGGTAACACATTGGGATATTCATTTCATTTCTTCTTCTTTGACAACATTTCTGCCGTTTCGGTTCTTAAAAAAATTTGGTTTAGTATGAAAATTACGCTGCGGTAGATGGGCCACACGGGGCCGTTTAAACATTCCTTTACCATTCAGTCAAAGAACATGAAATAATTCCCACCCAAGCAGAAAGATGTGTACATCACTCAAAATGTTTATGGCTGAAATACACTGCTGCTCTAGAGAAAAAAACGTATTTGACCGGTCAACAATGTGGTTACATAAGCGCATCTGTCTATTTGGACACGATATCCTAGTTCGAACAGTGCAGTCATCAGAGGCCTCAGAGTTTCATCAGGGCGATACTGAGATCCGCGATAACAGTTGCTAATTGTGGCCAGTGTGCAGATATCGCTGTCTCTGAGATTCGATGGTTTTAATTAGTGTTCCATCCTGCCAAGACTGGCAGATGAATGGGCTTTGTCCCAAATGCCCAGCACAAATAAACTGACTATTCTCGCTCTCATTAGTCAGTTCTGCCCTCTCAAGACAAAATCGCCAATTAATGTGCCTGGGTCAATTGACCCATGTTCGGGTAGAATCGTCTCTGAGATATGTTCGGTTCTATAGAGTTAAAAGCTAATTAAGAACATACAACACCGGTTCTTTTGCTTATCAGCTTTCCTGTGATTTTCTATCTTATGTTTGAGAATAAAGATTTACTGAATGATGAAACACCGGCAGTGTTGCCAGCTGTACAGCTGGCGCGCTGTTTTTGAGGCGGCGAAATTGAATTATACCATATTATATGCATATATCTGTAAAGGTACATTCATCTTGTACCTGTAAATCTGCAGGCACGTTACGAGTACGCGTACAGTTCAGCCAACCTCAACGACACCGGCCACGGCCAGAGCGTCAGCGCCGGCTACGACCTTTCCTCTCCCTCACTACACAGCCGGCACGCCGCCTGCCTCAGCGCGCCCACTTACGGCTTCTCGCCCTACCTGCAACAGTAAGTCCATCATTTATTCCTAACACCAAACTTAACATTTAAATTTATATCCCAGACAAAATCCAGCTTTCAATGCGATTCAATTTATAAACCGTTAATAGAACCTGTATGTAATTCAGTTGTTGAAAATGAAATTCATATGACAATATTTATGCAGTGCCGCCGCATCAGCCGCGGCCCTGGCGGCCTCGGAGCGCGCCGTGCTGTCGGGTCTGGAGGACACGATGACGCTGCACTCGCACGCGCACAACCTCCTCAAATCGTATCCGCAGAGCGCCGTCGACTGCCTTACCTGTACGTCACATAAGCTTGACCTTTCCGTTATTAATTGCACGCCGCAGCTTAATTCTGTTTGACCAGCGAACCCCAGCGCGCACTCGAACTTCCTCCTCTTCCGGCCGTCGCACGTCCACTCGCCCTTCGACCCCAAGTTCTCCGAGCTCTCGGTGGGCGTCGGCGTGGGCGTCAACGTCAGCGTGGACGCGCTGCCCATGCCGGTGCCCGTCGTACCGCTGCACGTCACTAGCCACGCCCACAGCGGTCACTCACACCACGCCCTGCACCAGCCCATGGCGCAGGGCGGCCACAGCCAGAGCCACGCCCATTTTGTGGACAACCCCCACGGTCACCACGGGCACGGCCGCTCCTCGGCCGGGCACTTTATCTCGCTGCACTCCAACTCCTTCAACAGCAAGACCGCGCCCCATTTACCCAGCCAATCAGGTAAGAATTGGAAGCTCCTTGATAGCGTCACATGCTAACCGTGCTGCTCCTTATGAAGCTAACCGAGCAGCCAACAACAACGCCGGCCTGCACTCGCGGCGCGGTTCACTGCAGCTGTGGCAATTCCTGGTGGCGCTGCTTGATGACAACAAGAACGCCGCCTTCATCACGTGGACGGGGCGTGGCATGGAGTTCAAGCTCATCGATCCTGAAGAGGCACGTATTCTATTCTACTTAAGTACTGAATATATTTTTTTATTCCATATAATTTGTATGTAACATTCCGTTTAATTCCAAATAATTTTATATATTATTATCATGCAAGATAAAAACATACCTATTTATGCAAATATCAGCATAATAACTAATAAGTTACACATGGTTATACATAAATAATGTACGAGAAAGTACTATAATTTTTGTTATCTTAAAATTAATAAAAACACCAAGTAAATGAATAAAATAATAACTATTAATAAAATTAATAAATAATTATTTTTGTTAAATTTTTAGTACCGTTACTTATTGTTATTATATTGTAAGTCATTTGATTACTGTTATGCAATCCGTAATTAATTATTCTATAGCATCATTAGCATGGAGTAAATCATTAATGAATAAATTCTTAATTAATAATTTAATAAATTATTAAGAATATTTATTAACTACGATTGCAAGTTACAACAGGAAAAATATAGTCTTGTGCTGTACAGATAGATGTATTGACGGCTGAAAATATTGCGTGTACAGGTGGCGCGATTGTGGGGCATCCAGAAGAACCGGCCGGCGATGAACTACGACAAGCTGTCGCGTTCCCTGCGCTACTACTACGAGAAGGGCATCATGCAGAAGGTGTCGGGGGAGCGGTACGTGTACAAGTTCATCTGCGACCGGCAGGCCTTGTCGGCGCTGACCAGCAGCGACAAGAACTCCGGCAGCGGCAGCAGCGCCTTCGGACCTTCCTCGGGATCCTCCGGCGGCGGACACCGGCACTCACGCCACCGCCAGCGCTCCAGCGGAGCGCGCATGCACCTGCCGGGCACATCGATGCCGCTGCACAACGGCATGTCCATGGCCGAGCAGGCGCTCCTCCGCTCCTGATCCGACCCAGGCCACGCCCATTCGTCTGTCGGCTGCACGGATCGCACAGCGGCCCGATCTGGTTGTTTAATTAATAGCATGCGCATTGGTAACTCGAAGCTGATAATTATGGCGGGACTGCGCTAAGCAGAGTCGTTTATTTTGCACATGCACCAGACCTTATAGACGCATTGGCCTTTGACTGAGCTGTTTTGTCAAGTGCCGCTACTAAGTGCGAGGCAGCGTATTATTCATTTTATCTAGTGATTCTAGTCGTATCTTTTTTGTCTGCATAACGGTTAAGTACGTGATCCTGTGTAATACTCCGGTGAACAATAAAGCGGTAGTATAGAATATTAATTTTGTCTATGCTACGACAGCATTTACAGAGTATATTCGGATTTCATATATTCGACAGAGTATATTCAGATTTTTTTTGTTTGAAACTATAATTCTTGCTTCCGCATTTATTTATAGATTTTTCGATTTGCTTATTTATTTGTTGTAATTTACGTGGTAGAATCAACGAATCGATGAAAGTCGACAGCCGTGTCAATCTTAAATGAGAAGTCCGATTAACAATTGTCTCGCTATAAACAGCGCACAGGGCCTTAAACTGTAAATCCCGCAAACGTTAACAACTTTCCAGAATAAATGTAACGAAAAACGACGATCATGCCTTGGGCTTCTTGACGCAGCGGGGAACCATGCCGAGGACCTTCCAGTCCAGGGGCTCCTCCTGGTGTTTGCGCTTCTTGGGGTTCGGCTGCTGTTCGGCCTGTTGGCGGATGCTCTTAACCAGCTCCGTCAGCGCCCCACCGCCGATGCCGTAGCGCTCCTCCAGGATCTTCGTCACTTCCGCGTCGACTTTGTCCAGGGCCTGGGGTACTTTATGGGGATAGAGGATGCCCTTGACCGCGGCCTGGTACTCCCCGGCGAACTCAGGCACCAGCTGGCGGGCCACTTCGTCGGCGCACAGCTTCGTCAGGCTCTCCACTCGCTGTTTGCTGCCCTCGCTGACACTGCCGCGGCGGCTGCCGGCGCCTTTAATGCAGCTCGCTGCAAAATCAAATCAGGTACAGATACCAAAAGTCATTCTATCGGATCGCTACATTTAATGTCTTGAGCAAACGTTTCCCCTAAAGTAATTTGACACCCAAAAGAAAATTACAAACCGAAAAGGTATTTCTGTAATATAACAAGAGGAGTGATTTGCTATTCTGGCAGGTAATTTGAACAAGAGGCACATGTACATATAACGAAACAAATTAAGAGGCACAAATACGAGTATTTGCACTTACCGGCTGCCACTAGGAGTAGGCACGTAAGCACTAGCTTGGCCATTTTGTACAGGGTCAAACTCCGCTGAGCAAGCGAAATGGTTCTAAAACAGATCACTGCTAACGCTATATTCCACTTGGAACGTGGTTATATACCTTTACTGATCAGGATGCAAGTGACCTCATCGCCAGCCGCCAGGCACTAGGCAGGTAAAAAGCCTTTCGTGTTTTTCTAAGGAAGTTCCGGATTCTCGTTTCCATCTGATCACCTTGAGCAAATATTTAGCCTTGAATTAGCCAGTTGATTATCAAACCGATCGCACTGCCGTGACTTCTCTTAGTTTTCACATAGCTGTGTGAGCAGAGAAGCAGCTGACGTACAGCGATAAAGTCTTTCAAAGGATTTCAACGTATTGCGCCGTGGTGCAGTGGTACTGCCTGCGCAGATCTAACGACATAACCGGGGTTCGATTCCCCCATCGGCGCATTTTTCAGCCGTTTCTCGGTTTCCAGTGGATAGCGCCCTGGTTTTAGCTGCATCACAATCAAACCGCGCAGTGAGTGCTATACTGGCCTGGAAGTACAGAATACTCGCATGGTTCTTCTGCTTGTGAGGAGAGAAGCGGCTCATGTACAGCGACAAAGTCTTTCAAGGATTTTCAACACTTTGCGCCGTGGTGCAGTGGTACTGCCTACGCGGATCTAACGATGTAGCCGGGGTTCGATTCCCCCATCGGTGCATTTTTCGGCCGTTTCTCGGTTTCCCTCGGATGGCGCCCTGCTGAGATGGTAGCAGATCAAGGTTCGGTACGTCCACTTCGCGTATGAGCCCAGTGCGTTAACCTCTACATCCGATTTTCGGTGAAGGAGCCGTTCGGAAAGTGCGGAGAAGGAGCCGCGTGGAGGATCGCTTAGGCTCGCTACGAGGACGTAGCGAAAGCTGCAAGGGGGGTGTGAGGAGAGAAGCGGCTCATATACAGCGACAAAGTCTTTCAAGGATTTTCAACACTTTGCGCCGTGGTGCAGTGGTACTGCCTACGCGGATCTAACGACGTAGCAGGGGTTCGATTCCCCCATCGGTGCATTTTTCGGCCGTTTCTCGGTTTCCCTCGGATGGCGCCCTGCTGAGATGCTGATTCATCTGTACAGGTACAGATACAGTAGGGGGAGCGACGGTCGCGCAAACTCTCAAACCGGTACCAGAACTTCTACTTATGTAGTTTTAGGCCTTATATTTGTTTTCTTTATCAAATAAGCCTGATTTCCGGGAGAAAAAGCTTTCACATGGGAGACTGTGCAAAAGCGTTCCTTTGTATAAATGCATGCAAATTACGAGAACTATGCGTGAAATTCCATTACGAGTAAGTACTGACCTTACAACTTATAGGCAGATAAAATATACTCGCACATATGAATTAAGGATCTCTGAGGCACAACATTACACTAGGGGTGGTTGATACTTGATAACCAAATCACTGCACGAGCGCGTGCTCCAAGACCACTGGAAGATGGTGTGAGGCGAGAAGCGGCTCACGTACAGCGATGAAGTCTTTCAAAGGATTTCAACGTATTGCGCCGTGGTGCAGTGGTACTGCCTACGCGGATCTAACGACGTTGCCGCGATTCGATTCGCCCATCGGTGAATTTTTCGGCCGTTTCCAGTGGATAGCGCCCTGGTTTTAATGGTATGGGATTTGTGAAATGGTAAAAAGGCTTTGTACGCTCTTCGTGGCGTCAGACAAATATTTATGCCCTTGATGAAGACTCCATATGTAGCAGCCACTGCCTGCGATCGATGGAGATTACTAAGCACAACATGTCAGCAACATTACATCGATACTTCTACTGTAATTTTTTGAGGCACTGCTGACGACTGTTAACCAACAGGCGATCATTCGGACAACATCTGCCCGCATACATGTATTGTATTTCTCGTGGATTCATAAAAAAAAAAGAAGCAGATTCATTAAAACTCTGAGCAGAGTACAGAGACCATAAGAAAACTTCCACAACATGGATATGATGTCACCGCAAAAAACAAACCGCAATGTCACCGCAAAAACGAATCCACCGCGTGGAGCAGTACATTTCCTGAATCCCCTTCTTCCTCCCGTGCTCCACACCGACACGCATCACGCTCACATTCATCGCATTCCCATTCCCGTCCCGGGATGACGGCGACGCCGGGTAGTGCAGCGTCAAGCCGGTTTCAGTTTCATCGTGACAGCGCCGCAGCCCACGATGTCGCCCGACAGCCGGCAGGCGTGCCGCAGCCAGCGGTCTGCAGCGGCATCGTACACTTCCACGCTCCTATCGTCCGTACCGTGCCCACTGTAAAACGCGTTCCCACCCAGGACGTACCGGTACAGCTGCCCGTCCAGACACGCACAGGCCGGCTGCCGCCGCGGATGGACCAGATCGCCTGTCGTTTAATTAACACCATTAAAATTCCTGATTACTAGTTATTATCAACAATACTAACATTTTCCAGTAAAATAACGCTGAGAACATACCTTTCCTCAGCCACTGACGGCTGTTGGGATCGTAGGCCTCTACGCGCACGCAGGGCTTCCTGTCCTCCGCGTCTCCCCCTACGCAATGGACCACAGCGACTTAACTATATAATCTAATGCAATGTCGTAACAAATTGCACCAGTAACAACAACCAAAATCCATGGCATTCTAAGCAGAGCGCAGTCCGAGGGAAACCGAGAAACGGCTGAAAAAGGCGCCGATGGGGGAATCGAACTCCGGCTACGTCGTTAGAGCCGCTACTCGCTTTTCAGCATCATTGCCGTTTAGCTAATTTAAAGGCAAAATACACGTCTTGCTTTTCAACCATGTCGATAAAAGTACCGAGAACAGGGACTTCACCTTTCGACATCGATCACTCATACTTGTACGATAGTAACTCGTAACCTACCCACAACGTAGATCAGCCCGTCGGGCGCGACACACGCCGCGCAATAGGAGCGTGCCGTGGGCATGTCCGGCAGCCGGCTCCAGTCGTCAGCGGTCGGATCGTAGGCAAAGGCTGCACGGCTAGCCTGTCGGTCCATGGTTGCTCCACCGAAGGCGTACAACAGCCCGTCATACGGCACCAGCACCAAGTCAATCAGGCCGATAGGGAGCGGGGCCAGCGTACTCCACGCATTGCTCTTCGGATCGTAGGCGTCGACGGACGACAGTACCGCTACTGGCACTGAAGGTGCGTAACCATGCCCACCGGCCACATAAACACGCCCATTGAGGAGCGCCACCGCCTCGTCACCACGCCGGGGCTGCAGGTCGGCCAGTGGCACCGGCGGTCCACCCATTAAACCGGTGTAGCGGCGATCGCGCTGCACCGTCTTCACGCCGTGGATGCAGCAGATCATCATCAGCCGGCCATCGTCCAGCACGACGGCCTTGGCATTCTCAACCAGCAGCGGCAGATCGGTCTGGCGCCACACGGCCGGGATGGACGGGCTGAACACCTGCACCGCACTGCACTGCTCATACCCCTTCCAGTCTTCCACGCAGACCAACACTTCCTGCGTGCCTGCCACCACCGCAACACCATTAACTGACCGTTAAAAACGAATCTGCAGTTTGTTTTAAGGAAAACATGTTTTTAACCTCCGCAACAATTACAATGTTTTTTTTAGGAGACAACTGCAATTTTCATTTCATCATGGCAATTTCAAAATCGTCGTAAGCAAACCGTCGCTGTACACCGACCGACTGAGTTCCACTCACCGAAGGCGTGCCGCGGACTGCTGTTGAGCGTCGTCCCACTCCCACCGCCCATTCCCGACGCCGCACTATCCCAGGCCCCGTTGTACTGCCGTCGACACTGCTCGCTCAGGAAGACAGCACGGACACTCTGCAGCACCGCGGGCAGCTGCGCCAGTCGCTCAGCACGGTCGTAATCCAGCCATCGCCGCACCGCCTCCCACACTTCATCTTCACTGGACACTTCCACGTCATCCGACGCCAACAGCTCTGCCAGCTGCAACACATTCATTCATTCATATATCAAGAGCAGACAACCCGGTTAACGGGACTTCAACGTCTGGTCGGTAAAAAACAGCTAAAGGTTAACAACAAAAAAGAGATTATTCGAACAGATCGACCGTTTTCAGAGCAAACTTAAAGAAGCCAACACCGCTAACATTGAGTATCTCCATATTTATTTTTTGAATCCGCTCAAACACGTTCATCAGACGCATTGCCAACGTACTTTCTCCAATTTTCTTCTTTTCTCTGGCTTGGATTCGCTTTGGTTTCCGGAGGTTATACTGGGACGAACAAATAAAAAAATAGTGCAACAGTAGGACGAGCAAATAAAAAAATGATAATCAATAATTATTAAAAGGCCCAAACGGTGCGACTGGGTAGTGGGTACCTGATGTGCCTCCATTCGCAGAAATTCCTGTCTCTGCGCCAGTCGCAGGAATTGCGGATGGATGATGGCCAGGGCGGCGTCGGCCAGGCGGGGATTATGGAGGTCGGAAGCCAGAGCGTGGACTTGCAGGCAGGTGGACAGGTTCAGGCGCCGTTGCAAGTACTCCCAGCACATGGCAGCCACGCGACCCATCTGCAGAAACTGCGCGGCAGCCAAGATGCGCTCCACGTTGGACTCGCTGAGGCGCAGATCCAGCGTATACATGAACTGCACCACCCTACACGATGGACGGATCAAATGAAGCAGCTGTGAGCTGGTTGACAGAAGCCTACACACTGCACCAGTGGCGTACCGTGGCGAGGTGAACTTACTCGTTCAACGTGCGCGTGTCCATATTCTGCAGCTGCAGTTCTCGCTGCGCGGACTCCTTCCAATCGTGCGTGAAGAGCGAGCGAAAATATCCGCAGTGGGCGGTAAGGACGTTGCGATGACAGGGAATGCCCAGGGAAGCCACCGTTGCGTCGCTGCCCTGCAGCAGGACATCACACAGGGTGCCTGTTGACTGCAGTTCGTGCAGTCCGCGCAGGAATTCCTCGGCCAAACAACCATGACGATGAGGAGACCCCTCTGCAGAACTGCTGGGCTGCGACATGTTGCCACAGCGGACAGCCTTTACTGGATAATTACAAAACTTAGATTTAGTGTTTAGGATGAGCAACTTGTACTGGAATAAAGGAAGACGCACAATGCGGAACTGCAGTTGCAAAATGCAAAAGAGAAAGTCTGCCAGATGACTGAGATGAGAATCATGAGATGGCACTCTGCAGTTGCGACGGTTCGAAAACAGCCGTAACTGCCGTCCTGAGAGGGTTGCACGCCCAGGCCATTGACCGGAAACTGCAGAAAACGCTGCTAAATTCATTTCATTTTGGTAGAAATTTCAGTTTTCATTTACTGTATCTACAAAACAAAACCGCGTAACGTGGAAGGGAAACACTCAGCTTAGCCATTATTAGAAAGTAATCTGCGCACCACGAATACGGACCCTAATACTAATCTCCGCCTCTTTTGCGTGAGTCATAGCCCCATTCGTTTCGCACGATTCCGTAAAATACGGAATTTATGCTTTGAATCGTGTGTCTGTTGCGAAATGTTGCTGTGGAAGATGTAGTGGACCAATTTCCGTTTTGTTTTTGCAGAATGATAGAAAAAAGTATTTCCTACTTTCTGATATGTTTTGTCGGGCGATAAAAGCCAAAATAAACAATGAAAATATGAATCCCAGGAGCGCACCGAAACAGGCTGTAAAATCTAATTTGGCCGCGGTATATTGCAATAATACACATCGGTTGCCTTGTGTGCACTGGCTCGTGTCAGTCGTGCGTTTATTTTCAAATTATACGTAGTATTTTATTTTAATTTTTAACTTGTTGCTTCACGAACGTTCATAATGGAAAAAACTCTAGTTAAAAAAACTTATAATCGATTCTACGCGAAAGCTGATTTGACCTTGTTGGGTGAAGTCCAACATTTTAATCCCTATGCGGCAGAAAACAAGGAGAAAGCTTGGATGGATGTGGTGGAAAGTCTGAACGATGCTGCTCTGTTTTCAAAGTCTCTGGACGTCCGAGCTGTGAAAGAAAGACTTAGCGTGGTCATCACGGCATTCCAGGCGAACGACCTGCAAAAAAAATTCCGAAGTGGAACGGAGGAGGATTACAACAAGATGGAGCAGCTACTCCAGGAAATTTTGACTCTTGTAAAGAGAGCCGATGAAACGCGTCAGCAGAAATCTAAGGCCCATGCTGAGCAAATGGCCATGCGCAAGCGGACAGCGGCCTTCATGGTTTCTGCAGGAGAGCACGGGCGAAAGAACGGCGAGCAGGAAGCTCCTGACGATGTCTCCGTTTTATCCGGTAAGAAGCTTAACAAGCAAAATAATTTAAAAAAATTACGTAAATGGATGTTAATGTACGGTATATACAAATGCACCTTTAAGTTCTTCTTGTAGATATCCAGTATTTCTGATTTCTTGAGAAAATATCGCTGATTTAGTTTGTGTTAGATTTCGAAGATTTTCAGTTTTAAATTTTCTATTTTTTCTGACAGTTCCTGTAAGTAGGGTTGAAATCATGATTTCATGCATTTCATATTTCATGTTTCATTTCATTTTATTTCATGATCATGCGGACCCTTCCGTGAAACGTGAAAAGGAAATGAAATGAAATGTGAAATGAAAGAAATCGTGAAATTGTGAAATCATTTGAAATGCGATGATACCGCTTGAAATTAACGTGTTTCATACAATTTTCTGCAAAAAAATTATAAAACCTGGCGCAGATTTGACTGCTTTTGGTGTAAACGCGATGTATCCATCGGTATTAGCGAGTAATTAGTATAAGCGAGTTTCTAATGCGATCGTCGGGCACCCGCCGATGGCAACACAAGAAGCGACACTGGTACTTACTAGTAATTCTTGCTTCGCTTTCTGCTTATAACAACTAGAGTAGGTACCCAAATTTTATGGACTTATGGCAAATAGGAAAATAAATCTTTTTGGACCGATGCGTTTAACACAGTCATTGCATAATATCTGAAGATACAATAAAACCAAAAGCGCCAGGTTTCAACTCTTACTTACCGGTTTTGCGGTTGATCGTATTTTGTACTGTACTCTCGTATCGTTTTTTGTGAGTGGTGATAACCACTCACAAAGTGAGGTTTTGATTTCTGAATAAGGTTTTGATTTCTGATTTCTGAATAAAGTGAGATTTGATTTCTGAATAAGGTGAGGTTTTAGTTCTGAATAATATCTTGAAAACAAGTATTGAAACAACCGGAAAAGTCATTAAAGTGTGATAATTAATATTATTAAAATAAAATTATTTTTTTAAATAATTTTATTTCACGTTTCATTTCATTTCTTTTCATTTCACGTTTCATTTCATTTCCTTTCAAAACAGGGTTTGAACCTCATGAATTTCAACCCTACCTGTAAGTACGTCACGTCAAACTTGATTGCTGGATTACGTAATTTCGTAGAAATTTTATTACTTTTTGGACATTTACTTGCTCGTCTTGATGCACAAAATTTCAAACTGTTACCGGGGCTTTTGAATTCTAGATGATGAAGATGCCATGAACGACTGGCTCAGCGCCAACGGCGGCGACATTCAAGATTGGCAAGAGGAAGTTCGGCTTCGACGGGCAGAAAAAGCAGCCACTGTCCCACAAATGTCAGAAGAGAAGAAATTCAAATCTTCCCGAGCTATGCGAAAAGATAAGGAAGCAGAAAGTGATATTATGTGGATGAATTTTATGAAAGAGCAGGACGAGAAAAAACTAAAACTCAAAGAACAGCAAGCCACTGACGCAAAAGAGATCGAATTAAAAAAACTGGATATTGAACGTGAGAGAATTGCAGTTGAGAAATTAAAATGGCAGGCAATTCTAGGCCGGGGGTCAAATAACAATTTTTTTGATTTGTAAATCTGATCTTTTCAAATTTTTGTTTTATTTGTTGTCTTATTTTGAGATGTTTTTTATTGAAATATTTTCTCTTTGTAGATTACCGAAATTTATTTCCGATGTTTAACACAGGTATTCTTCCAGTGTTGGTGGTTCAACATTAAAATACTGACTTGCTTGGTTAGGGCCTACAAACAGTTACAACAATTTGTCAAAAAAAAATAGCCACACGAAAAATTTTGTTGACGGGTTTCTCGAATAACTTCATCTGTTTTCTGAAGTCCACAAAAGCGAATTTAACAACCACTTCCTTGAACCCCCATTCCACAGATTCCCGAACAGTTTTCATGGCATCGTTCTGGTGTCTCTTCACGCGGTTGTACGCTGTCTGAAGTTTTGAGTACGGCTTCCTTAAATAATCGTTCATTCCATAACCAGAATCTCCATATAGCGCGAATTTCCGGCAAAAGGGTTCTTTGCATAGTTTTCAATCGCCCTAGCATTTTACTCTCTTGAAACATGCGACTGTCATGGACACTACCAGGTTCACCGCCGTACAGGTTGCAAATTAATCCTAAAGCAAAATGTCAGAACTTTAATAAATGTAACATCCAAAAATTATTGAAATGTACTAAATCTCAGTGAAAGAAGTTTAAAAAAACAATTACAAATTTACAGTAATTTATTAATTGAGAAAAAATATGAATTTACCGTTTGGTAGTAGAATAGACTGCCACTTGGTGCAGTGGAGACGTTTATGGCCGCTGTACATGATCTTCTGGTTATATGTTGGTCGGCAAATGGGGCGCGCCGTCCCGTCGATAAAGGCAGAAACATCAGGGAAGACACCTCCTTTCTGTGAGATAGCCGACGCGTACCCGCGAGATCTTCTTCTGACAACCAGGGATGATCCAGGCGGGAAAGATGCTTCGACCACAAGCAATCCAGTATTGACAAGACCGCGTAGAAAATTCTCGACATGGAGCCTTGGGAACGGCCAAAAAATTTACGCAGTTCTATCCATCGATTTGGATAACACAGGCGGCGCAACAAAATGCACAAGGCCTCCACAGCATTTACACAGTCTCCTTCTGCAGTCCACACCAAATCCGGAATTTTAAGCGCCGTCGCCAACATAGGAAGATCATGCTTTTTAAAGCGGAAAAAATCCCAGCATTCCTTCTCGCTTAAAGCATTCAGGCTAAATGATGCTGCACGCCATTCGTCATGAAAATATGTTTTTCGTCTCCGTCGAAGTATCTTACGTCGCAAAATTAAAAACAGCCGTCGAGAGATATTTTTCCGGAGATACAACTTCATTAACGTAGCCAGTTTCATTTTTAAATAAACTAAAGCGAATCTGAATCATAAATATTTAAATTCACAATGTCAAGCTTTTTTTGGAACTGAAATGCGCAGATAGTTGTGGTGATTTTGACATTTGTGGCAAGTGGTAAAACTGCTTCGAGGGCAGTTACGTTGCTCGCGTTTCGTACTTCCGCCGCTAGCGGCCGAATACTCAAAAGCAGGCCGAATACCAATACAAACACGATTTTAATTTTGATCGGTATTGGTGTCCGTATTCGTGGTCAGCAGATTGCTTTCTATTGACACAAGTCTAACGTACCGATGCACCGATTAATACCGATGCGGTTAGTAGGAAAATCTGACAGAAGACGAATTCTTGCATTTTTCTGTACATTAGTGGCCGTTGCCCGCGGGCGGCTGGGTTCTGGGCGGTGGTTTGATCCTTACGATCGATAATTAGTCGGCTGTCAAGTGTTACGCTGGTTCTCTTAAAACAGTTTCATTTTTCGACCGCAGCGCTGGTCTTCATACGCGCTCGCTCTCTTGCCTTGTCGGCAGTTCGGAGAAATTAAAAAGCCGACTAACCGCATCATAAACGGGATTTGAACGTCTCTTGCCTAGGTTACACAAATTTAATTTTTTTCCGCTCATTTTCCGACAGCCATAATTTCTTACACGTTTCCTTCTGACCGGTGTGTTCTGCGTGCCTAAGTGCAATTTCAGAACGACGATGTCAACAAAGCCCGTCTACTTGCGCAGTCCAAACCTGAAGCCGGCATCTGGTTGAACGCGTTGCCGTCGGCCCACATCGGAAACTTACTTGATGACGACACCCTTAAGATCAGCATCGGACTGCGCTTGGGTGCGAAAATCTGTGAGCCACACCAGTGCAGTAAATGCCATAGACCTGTGGACGGCTACGGACATCATGGGCTGTCATGCCCTTTCTCTGCGGGTAGAAACCCACGGCACGGGGGCCTGAACAACATAGTTTGCCGTGGGCTGGTATCAGCTGGTGTGCCTGCCAAACTGGAACCGCAGGGAACATCCCACACGACGGATCGTCGACCCGACGGTTGCACAACTTTCGCGTGGAAGCGCGGCATGTGTCTCGCTTGGGATGTAACATGTGTAGACACGGTGGCGGCCTCTCATCTCAAAGCCACCTCCACAAGTGCTGGAGCGGCAGCGGTACAAGCCGAAGAGAAGAAAGCGAGACTGTATTCTTATCTAGTCGGCCGATACATTTTTGCACCAATTGCCTTTGAAACGATGGGACCTTGGGGACCTTCCGCTATCGCCATCGTCAAAGAATTAGGCAAAAGACTGCAGCTGCATACCGGGGAGTCTCGCTCACATGAATTTCTGCGACAACGATTGTCGCTTGAAATCCAAAGAGGAAACGCTGCATCTGTTCTCGGGACCGTGGGCGAAGCGGATAAACTATATGAGATTTACCTGTTGTAACTCTTTCTTACATTACCTTTTGATGTTTCAATACTTTGCGCTTTCTGTTTGATTTGACCAATAAAGAAGATAGTAGTGCAATTACGTTTTTTTGCCGGCAACCGTTGCACAGCGTTGTGTGTTGCACCACACAAACCGGCAAGATGTCAGCTTTTCGGCTTTCTGTACATGCGCGATGCACAAGTACATACAGCAGTGTTGTAGCAAACCGGCGAAACGGCGCTGAACGGCATCGATCGCTGCGATCAGGCACATCACATAGGGGAATCACGGCTGGGATGTATCTGTATCCGTACGCAATAAAACGTCGGTGGAGCAATTGGCTAAAGGAGCACGATGAGAAATTAAAGAGGCTTCGCTGTTGTATACTCTGACTCTGCTGCGCATTGATCAAGTGGGCGTAAATGGTAAATGGCGACGAGTAATGATGCTGACGAGCCGGTGTCCATTTGAGCAGAATTAATGGCCGCGCTGCGCTCTGCAACTGCATGCACTGCGCCCCGCCTCCATTGTTTTATTCAGCAGGCAGCGGCCACGCCCATCTCCACTGCTATAGCATTTGGCCGTACTGGCGCGCTAATGTGGCGTGTCGCGCAACAATTCTCTAGTGTTCCATTGGCAAGAATAACACGTCGCAAATTATTAGGCCGGTTTTCGCGGCAATGTGTGTGCTGTATTTGACACAACGCAGCGCCTGTCATAACGCATAACGCATAGCATGAATAATAACGTCTGCATAATGACAATGTTGTCTCTAACGCATTGTCCACAACACCGACGTTTTAATAATAATACAGCGCTGCCAAACAACGCGTGTTGAATGTTCGTTGTGCCAGTGGTGTGCCGCAACACCAACCGCCCCGCCCCGCCACTCCACAGCACACACGGGCTAATCTCTTCTCAATGGCGCACAGGGCCCCGCCCCGCTACGCTGGCCCGCCCACCTTCCACTCGCACACACACAAAACATCCAGTGTGTATAAACTCTGGTTGTGATTTGGCGTCTTGTGTTGAGTTCATGGATCAGCTGCCGGTTTTGTGTTAGTATACTAATATACGCAGTCGTGCCTGTTCCGTTTCTCGTCTCTCTCTGGTTTTGACGCGATCTCGCTGGCATTGTTGTGGCAGTGTATTGAATTCAAATGACCACTTGAGCGCGCTGAGAGAGCGACTCACGTAAGCTACTTGCCGGTTCGGTAATCTATCGCAAACGGGTTCGGTGCGATTCGGAATAGGAGCGTTGTTGTTGTTGGATCGGATACTGACCAGGCTCATTATATTCTGCGCTGGCAACTTGACGTGCAGCGTCCGTAATTTCTGATCTTTTGAACGCGAGTTCCGGAGTAACACGGCCTATCGATTTGCCGTTTTATCCAGGGTTTTTTCTGTTTGTTGGCCGATCGATTAGTGGCTGACACTCCGCGGGCGCCGCTGCCATTTTCCTGCACTAATGTGCAAAGCCATTCTTTGCGGGTGATTGGCGTGCATTTTTTCTTCGACATGGAAACGCTGATGGCGCTGCTGCGGCAGGATCCCGCTGCGCGCCGCATCCCGCCACAGTAAACACGGTAAGGCATCTCCGGTAACCTTTGCAAATTGCAATCACGGCGAGTGTATTTATACCACGCGGCTGATTAATAATGACCAGTCTGCGCCGGCGCCGTGTAATTAACAGCGCGTGTGGGTGTCGCTTGCGCCGATTACCTGCACCGGCAAATTAAACATCGCGGCGCTGTTGATCAACAGTGCGCTGCACAAGCGTATCTGTGCCAGTGCATCTGCCCGGCAAGTGGCGGCCACGGGGGAATTGGCAGCGGAAACCCGGGCGCATCCGTTGTGCCGGTTGGGGACGCTTAGCGTAGCTCGCGGAATATCTATCGCGCAGCGACGGAAATGATCCGGTCTTAAGAAAATTGATTGTATTTACATAAAAAACCTTTTTCCACTTTGACAGACTCGACGGCCAGCTGACTGTTGACCCACATTGCTTTTCCCTCTTCTGCATTCCTTGATCGTGTCATGGAGCGGCTGGCGCTAAGCTGGACGCTGCTCGTGTGCCTCGTGGACGGCGTGTTCGGACAGGGCGTCTACCAACTCTTGGCCGGCAACGGTCTAACCGAGGTACGTGGAAATCTAAGTGATCAGTCAGCGTTAAACTTAATGGTCAGCATCGATCGCGTACAACATAAGACTGGGAAATGGCAGTCTTATTTAGTGCAATGTGCAGTAACCCAGTTAAGATGACAGTGGAGCGGAAACCGTAAAATTCCCGGCGTACAAGGATGTGTTTATGCCTTGTGTCCGCTGATGCGTGTGTCCTTTGCGATGGGCTGCACGTCCGCGTCCACTTGTCGGGGATTAAGTGGCGCAACTAACGTCCATATGCGCCTGCTCCCTGGCTAACACAGGCTGTGTAGTGTATGTCCAGACAGCCATCTGTTCTCTCCCGGATAACGCTGAGCGTTAACGCACCCCATCTCCGCAATCATCTTTTCCAGCCGCGTAATACGCACATTATATTAAGATCCGTCGCAACATTATTTCTCCCCTATCGATTTCCATCCGGGAAGACACTAATGACCTTTGGCCTGATGAGAAAAAAAAGCCCATTTGTAGATGGAGTAATTTGCCGCGACCCAATTCGCCCGCATCGGCGCCTGGTATCCGGTGACGGCCGCGGGCCATTACTATGCAAAAAACGCCTCCCTAATGCCGGTGTATGCGGGTGTATATACGCGTAAACCGCCCGTGTGTTTAAGCCCAGCAACCTTAACGGCATGTTAGCGCTAACTAGCCCCGTTAAGCGGCGTCGTCTTACGTTATATTCAGCCGGGGAATTATCGGTTGCGCGGGACTGCCTGAATACCGGCTGATCCGGCGGGTGTATGTAAATCGTTAGTGTTGGGGAGAAAGTAGGCTAAACTATGGGGATTACATGGAATTAGGCTTGTCAGTCATCCTCGTTATCCTGTTTGCGCGCCTGCTCCGCTGGCTCGGCGCAGTGAAGCGCGCATACGCGGTGTATGCGTAATTTCTGATCCCGCTGCAGCACTGCGGCAAAATGGAGCGAGCGAGCGGCGTTTTAAATTCAGCTGGCCGCTGGCTGTGTGCGCCGCTAATTATTGCGCCCTGTGCCGGGTTGGCGGGGGGCTGCCAGTGCGCCTCCAGTAGCCGGCAGAATGATCGAACAGGTTGACGCATAAGTAGCCGGTTTATCCGGCCACTGTATGCGCTGTTTGTCCAAGCAATTCAGCCGCAGATTTACTCGAGACAAATCCCGGGAGAAATACGCCATATCGCATTATCATCATAATGCCGGCAGTCAATTATGCCGCGATCCACAGCGGATGGGCTTGGAAAAACGCATAAACACTTTAAAACCGGCAACGCGCCGTTGACGACTGTGTGTGCTTATAGAAAAAGTTGTAAGCGGTGCGTAAGTAGTGTGCGTAAGTCGGAATTAGGCTAGTCGATACAGTCGTTCCGTGTTGTCCTTTGCCGTGGACAAACATGGCGCTGCAGCAACGCGCATATTGCTCAAAAAACAAATAAACCCGCCGGCCCACATCGTGTCATTGCGCAACCGGAAGCCCGTGCGCGGATGACAACACAGCGCTGTAATACGTGGATATTACTCCGCTTAAAGAGGCAGCAAAGTGTGTTGTCACAGGCATTTAATTTAGCTGGCGTTTATTGTATTGACTGGCATGTCCGCTGCAGCAGCAGCTGAGCTGACGCGCGAACGCAATTGGATTTAGGGAAAAGAGCCTGTTCAGTGAACAAGCGCTGGCTTAGCGTTAAAGCGAGCCAGGCTGTCTTATCACGGGAAGCTGAGGAAGACGGGGCGAAATATGTGTCAGTTGCTCATTTACTGGAGTGCTGCTAATCTCTTTGCGCACAGACTCCACCTTCGCCTTGCTTCCTGCGCGTCCCACTTCGCCCCGGCCATCAGCTGCTGCATTTCACCGTTTTCCGCCTAATTGCTATTACGCGGACGCGCTGCGCCGGGAATACACAATGAAGCTGTCGTTTGCCCGCCTGCCGAATTGGCCCAACTTTATTAATTTGGCGATTGACAAACTCGCCTGAAAATTCCCATTAAAGACGCTGTAAAATCTGGCCATTGAATTCCTGTTTCCGTGCTCGTCGAAAAGGGAGCACGTGATGCCAGCGCGACCAGTCCATCTTTAATAACATTTAGATGAATGTTTATAGAAGGCAGTCATAAATCACTGAGCCAGCAGCGTGGCCGAGTGCTGCCGCGGAGTCCGGCTGGCAGTGCAAATCAGGCTGCTAATCCGGCCACTGATCGATCGCCGTTGCTGGCCTGACAAGCTGGCGCTCGATGCTGCGCCGCGACAGGGAAAAAACGCGGGAATATCGCTGCTTATCGAGTGCTGACAAGCAGCGGCTAATGGCGCAGCGGCTTAGTCTAACCGCCGCCCGGAAGTGCGGACGCCAGCGACAATGAAAAGCCAGGCATTAGAGTTGTGCAAAGTAAACGCGTGGGTAAATGTGTACGGAGATAAGTGAATCCCGTGCGCTCCGCTGGCAATGAAGTGATCATTATGACTAATTGTAATGACACTGATTCAGGCACGTCAGCGGCACGCGCCGCAGCTGCTGTTTCAGTGCGAGCGGTCGCGTCAGGACAGGCGTGTACAATACAATAGACGGTGGTCAGCTGAGGACGCACAGAGAAAGTGAGACAGAGAACGAGAGAGAGACGCGCGTACAGTGGACGCGGGTCAGCTGAGGACAGGCGGATATAAAGATCGAGTGAGAGAGAGGCGCGTATACGAATGCAGTCACCAGTGGACGCGGGTCTGCTGAGGACAGCGGCTAAAGCCGCTAAAGCCGGTTGGATATGAAGACTGAGCCAGAGAGACTTATATGTTCAATGGACGTGGGTCAGCTGAAGACAGCCAGACAGAGACAGCGAGCAGACAGACGCCCGGTGCTTTTGATCTGTGTTGCTAACCTCGGCTGACCGCTGTCCTAACCACCGCTGACGTCAGGCCTTCCCATTCAGCGCTGATCAATTGTGTTGACATTATGGTTACGGATATTATTCCTGGCTAATGAGCCTACTTTAGCGCCCATTGTCCCGTACAACAGCTGCCGCACGGATAATGCACGTGTAAATTGCAATGAATAAATGCTGTTGCTACAGTTGTTCTTCTTTCTTTACCCACTTAATTAATGTAATCTCCCCGTGCACATTTATTTGTCATGCTGCACGTGCCGTTGCCACTGCCCAGTTGTTAACCGTCACTTTAAGGATTAAAAGCCAGCAGTTGATTGAGGAAACTTGAGGATTAAATTTTGCAATTTACTGGGGAATTTTACTGCAGCGTTGCTGGTGCCGATATTCCAATGCTGATGTGGAAATTAATTTTAAAATGCGCGTTGGGCGAATGCGGCGGTTGGCAGGTGCTAAATCCGTGGCAATCCATTTAGAAGGCTTTTAAGGCATTTTAGAGAATGGGCAGCGGGACGAATTAGGAAGGTGTGAGTAATTGTGTTAGTGGACGGCGGCTGTGTTGGAGATTGTGCGCGGGCAGCGGTGCGTGGCCGGCGCTGGCATTTTTGCCGGCTCACTGCCTTCGCGCTCTGGCAAGCGCGTTGCTTTCCTAGCGCGGCTTTGTGTTGGGAGGCAATTTGGCTGAGTGTGTGTTGTGGGAGCGATAAGGAGAATGGTTGATTATTTATGCGCTGGGAAAACACAGGCCGCTTTAATGAATACATTCCGCTATACAACGCCGCCCGAATGCGGGAGCCGGTCGGGTTTGTGTATCGCGGGGTGAACTTGACATTTCCGGTTGATGGAGTTGAGCGGAAACGGGCATGTCGAGCCGCTGTTTGCCCGGCCGAGTCAGTGGCGATATCGTTTGACAGACAAGCAAGGAAACCTCATCCTTCCTTGCCTTCTTGCTGTTATATCGTGTATTCCCCATATCGATAGCCCGTTATCCCGGGCACACGCTGCGGCTTGAGCAAACTGGGCCAAACGGCCTCATTTCCCCTTGTAATGCTGTTTGCTCACTCCTGGCCAATTCGCTCCACTGTCAATAAATTACCGTCTTGACTTATTCGCATTGCACGACTAATTTCTTATGACAACACTCGTGGCTCGTCCATTTTAATCACTACATCGCTCGCGCATTCTTCACGCTTTACGCGCTACACTGGACACTTGCTGTGGCTTTTCAGGCCGAGAAAATATTGACTTATTTAGATAAAAATGTAAAAAATAACAACTTGAAAAAACGTGAAAAAATTTCTTATATTTATTTTCTTTGGTTAAAATGTTAATAAATAATTGTTGCATTTAAAAACTGGGTCCACTGTTGCAATAGAATCTTGTGGCAGGATTTCGGGAGAATATCTCGATTAATTAAGTTTTGTAATTATCGCTCGTGGATTAGGAATTTCCAGTTAACGCGATTATGTCTGAAGCAAAATTAAGAGAAATTCTGGAAACGTGTAGAAATATTCTTCAGTGTTTGGGATTGAGTTTTGTAATTGTCGCTCATGAACGAGAACTTCCCAGTCAGCGCGAGTCATATCGATGTTATGATGGTGAATGAAGGATGGGCGCCTTCCACTGTCTTGACGGCATCTCTCCCGAATACTCGCCGTCCTTATCCCGCTGACGTGACTGTCAGTCATGCCCAGTCACATATACAGTCAATCGGCATCTGACGGAAGTGTCATAAATGTTATGATCCCAGCAGGCATTTGCTGGCATTTGATATCTTGAGCAAATATTTGCCCAACCGGCCCAATTCCAGCTGGACTGCCGGCCGCGGTCTTAGTCTAGGCGTGATTGTAAGGAGGAGGAAATGAAAATAATTGACTATGCAAGCAGTCCACTCTCGCAGCTTAATGCCATACATAACTGCCACCGTTGTATTACAGTCGCTGCGTGTTTTATTTTCCCCGGCAAATGCGTGTTTTGTCCGGGCCAGTGAATGGCGCATTCACCAGCCGGGCATTCAGCGCGACATGTCCGCGGAACAAAACAGCCTGCGCTGGTCAGTGTGTGTAATTACGCTTTTATTACCACAGCCATAACGCATTTGCGCTGCACAATGCCAGCACACTATCTCTGACAGGCTTTTTGTCGATCCCATTACGGAATACTGACCATCATTCATCGCGCGACAATCACGGCTATCTCACATTTCCACGCTGCTACTAAACCGCATGGGAACGGCAGTCTGTAATAACAGTCGAGAAAAAACACGGGAGTAGCGTATTACACGCATTCCTGCGCTGAGGTATCAATAAACGTCGCGCTTGTGAATGGCCGCGACGTAGTACAGATGACGAGAAAACCGGAATCGCTCCACAACAGACCGCCTAATTATTCGCCGGCAGACGCCCCGCCGACACGCAGCAGACTGCGCCGGCAGCATAATACACACCGGAGATATCGGTGCACAGTGAGCCGGGCGATAATGATCCCGTCAAACCCCGTAATTACCGCACCGCAGTAATGAATGGCCCATTGATAAAATAACGGCATGTTGTTAGGCTATTAGCGGCGACCGGCTGGGTTTCTGTGCGCCGCTAACGAAGCCAATTACGTAGTGTATCATACACTGTATAACGATTACCGGCTAATTTGATTGAATTCCGGTTTTCCGTTGCAGTTCGAGAAGATCGTCAACAGTGACTTTCTCATGAAGGCGCTGCTCAGTTCGCAGACGTCGCCCATGACGGTCTTCGTCCCGTCGGACGAGGCCATTCGGCGCTGGCGGAGCGCCAACGCGCCGCTCACTCTCAACTCGGACATTCTACAAAACCATATCGGTATGTTACAACATCGTGACGACCGATTTCCACCGGCTTTTGACGGGTTTTTCTTGCAGCACCCGGTGAATGGAGTCGCGAGAAGTTGGTGGAGATCGCGCAGATCCCGTTTAAGCAGGACCGGAAAATCCGCAGCGCTCTGCGAGAAGCGCCGCTGTGGCTGCAGTATTTTTCCTCGACGACGCCGGTAAGCGTTACAATCGTTCAGACCGAGATTTCCGGTTAATTTACCAACGTTTTTTCTGCGGCAGAAACTGTACATCAATAACGCCAGAATCCTTTCCCCGAACGCACAGACCAGCGGCAACCAGCTACTGCTCATTGTCGATGACGTTATTTCACCGGTCGGCACCGCCGCCTCCGCCGAGAAGTTCATCGAGAATCCCGCCGGCGAAGGCCACCGCGATCTATTATCACAGCTAAAGTGAGCCGGTATTCCACAGCGTTCGATGTCTGTCAATCAGCGAGTGTGTTGCGCTTTGCAGCGAGATTAAACGCGAAGTGTCGCAGCAGTTCGAGCACTCGCTGGAGGACACCAACGGCGTGCACACCTTCTTCCTGCCCAACGACGCCGCCTTCGAGGCGCTGAAGACGCGCGGCGCCTTCGACGTGGCGGTGCTGCGCGGCCACATTGTCCCCAACGAACTGCTGTTTCTCAGTACAATGGCCGACTGTCTCGACGAGGCGCAGCGGACGACGGGGACCCGGCAGACGGGATTCCGGACGCTCAACGACGAAAGTTCCCCGGCGTCGTTCGACAGCTTGATCGCTTACGCCAACAACAGCGCTCAGCGTACGAAAGCGCCTAATCTTTATATCGGCATGAATAAACATTTAACTATACACGTATTTTTGTACATGTAACATATGTTTTTATACATGTATTTTATACTTGTATTACATGTATTACTTTTAATTATACATGGACTTTACACATGTATTTCTATACATTATACATGTCAATACATGTATTTTTACATGATATATGTATTTTATACATATATATTTATACATGAATTTTTATACATTATATATATATATATATATATATATATATATATTTTCATACATGTATTTTTATACATTATACATATATTTTTAATTATACAGCGCAGGTGTACAGTCTGACCAGCCGCGGCAGCAGCGCGGTGCCGGCCGGCCGCGTCTACGCCCGCATCGTCAAAGCCAACATCCCGGTCGGGAACGGCGTGGTGCACATCATCGACCGCGTGCTGCTGCTCGTCGAGCAGAACGCCCGTGACATGCTGAGCGCGCGCGACAGCATGCGCAACTTCCGCGAATGGCTGAACCTGGCCGACGCGCAATTCTTCAACAACCTGGCCGAACCCTCCGCCGACCTGACGCTCTTCATCCCCAGCAACGAGTCCATCGCGGCGCTGCCGGTGGCCAAGGTGCACCAGCTGCGCACCGACCGCGCCTTCCTCAACCGCATCGTCAGCATGCACATCGTGCCCGGCCGGATGTGGCGCGCCGAGGAGATGCTCAGGGAGAACACCACGCTCACCGCGTCCTCCAATGTCAAAAGGCTGACCTTCTTCGCCCGGGAGATGCCCGCCGGCAAAGGTAACGCGTCCGTTAGAATTTGACACGACTTCCTGTACTTCCGGTCTGTTCTGTACAAAATTGTAACGGAAGTTCTAATGTAAAGGTACAGATAGCACCAGCTTAGCGCAAAGTTTGCGCTTACCACAATAACAAATTTACTCCACTCAATATTAATTTAGAAGAATAATTATAAAAGAATTATCTTAATATTTCAAAACTTATTTATTAATTATAACCCTTCTCGTGCCAACTGGGACAAATTTTTCATCTGAAAGTATTTTTGTGAGCGATGCTGGTCTCTGTACTTATTGCAAATAAAGTACAAATATAAACAATATGACATTATTATGTAAGCAGTAGATTACTCATTAGAAGTAAAACGTCCGCAGAAGGTACAGTGTGTAAGCAGTAAAGTACGTACGTACCTAAAGCTCTTTCTGTGTGTGTTCATATTATGAGTTTTAATGTTTACAGAAACAGGTTTTAAAATGTAATTCTGTCACGACTTTACTTAGTTCTCTGACGTCCTCTTACTAATTATGTCATATCACAACATAACATCATCGTGTAATATCAAGTATAAATATAGTATGTACAACATATCGTTGCTATGCTACACTGACAAATTCTCTTTAATCACCCTGCGGATTTTAAAAAGTAGTAGAGTTTTCCAATATGAGCGTGCCGAGAACGAATGCGCGACGCTACCTTGTATTTTAAATAAGTAATAATATATCTTCAGCACTTAACTATTACCAAATAAAAATATGACCGTACATCTATTTATATCATCTACAGGTTACACTCCACAGTGATTAATTCTGTACTGTAACAGTATAACTAAAGATACACAGTACGTATACACCACAGTATACAGTGTATAGCGTAATAGAATACCGTAGTAATGTACCTAAAAAGTATAGTTACAATCGTACATACATGCACATGTATACATGCACATGCACCTATGTGTTCTACGGTATAATTATAGTACTTACTTGAACATGTACAATATATAGATATGTATCAGCAATGTTCTTCGTGGTTACAATCACTGTGTTGAAGTAATCTGTATACTGTGCAGTAAACACTTTCTCGAATGCTCTTTACGTTTCCTATACTTTACTAAAAATCTGGTGAAATTATCTTCTGACCACTGGTTATTAAAAACAAACAAAACTCTGTGTGCAGATTTACAGAAAATATGAAAAGTTTGAAGAATAAGCTGGACTGAATAAAGAAAGACAACTCGTTGACGAGTACATAAAAACTGCGCGTACATTAATTATGTTTTGAACGGTAAGATTGTGTGAATGTAAAAATACAGATATGTTTAATATTTGGTAACTTACATTGATATTTGGAATGCTACGGCCACATGGCAAATGTGTATACTATGTATGTAAAATTAATAGTGTGTCGTGGCTCGCCGTAGTGTAGAATTTGGCCTAACCCGGAATCTGTATTGGTCGCTAATCGCTACAGGGATGTGTGGGACATCACGAGACAAGCTTGCACTTATATGTAAACCATCAAAATAAATTATAAACAAACAATTTTTCTCGTATAGTTACTTAGATATTGAGACCAATAAATTTGTCAATGTGCTAGATGTAATGCGCATAGTTACGATTTTTCATAACGCAGACTTGCTTGCTATATGTACATGTGCCTTTACCTTAGAAATTACGGAACAGGCTTGTACATGACTACATGTCCGTGTTGTGAGCAGAGTTGTACGTGGAGGGCGACGGTGTGCGGGCGCGCATCGTGGAGCCGGACATCGCGGCCACCAACGCCGTCATCCACATGATCGACGCCGTGCTGGGTCTGCCGTTCCTCAACGTCCTGGAGAAACTGCGCGCCGACAACAACCTGAAGCGCACCGCGTCCTCCGTCGAGCGCTCCCGGGAGCTCAACAACGCGCTGCAGTCCGCCGCCAAGAACTTCACGGTCTTCGCGCCCTCCGACCAAGCCTGGGCGAATTTAAAAGCGCAGGACCGCGACGCTTTGTACGCGCGACCGGATCTTCTCGGGAGAGTACGTATCATCCACTTCCGGTTCCTAAGCTTTGTCCTGGTTCATGAGCGTTAACTGCAGGTGCTGAAACGACACATTGTCGCCGGGCGACGCGTGGACGCTGCTTATTTGAAGAGCGGCGACCGGCTGGCGACGATGCAGGACGAAGTGCTGGTCAAGCAGAGCCGCGACAGCCGCGAGATGCAGCTGGAGTGGAAAGGTCACGTGGCCAAACTGACGACCTTCGACCTGTCGGCCGTCAACGGCGTCGTCCACGTCATCGACCAAGTGCTCTTCGACCGCCAGACCGACATTACATCCGCCGCGGCGTCTTGGCTTAATTCACTCAGTCTCGTTTCTCTGATGTCTCTCACTGCAATACTGATGACCTTTTCCGGACAAACGTGGTCTTGTTGAATCTTTTATCGGTGACGTGTCAACTGATCTCATTTGTTTTCTTGTAATAGTAATTTTGTGAATACCGTTTGCGGTTCTGTACGTTGCGGTCTAAATAAAAGAGACGTTAAGCATTAATTTTGCCGTTATTGGGTCGACTTCCATCTAAGCATTAAAATTTCTCCAATTACGGATTTACCGGTACAAGGCGAATCAAACGAACGCGGTTTTTTTTATTAACTTTAGTTGCCGAGTGATCTTTCAGGTAATGATAACAAATTTTTCTCCATGAAATGCACTATTTCAAATTCACGATCGGAAGTTGGCATATTTTAACAGTTACAGATCGGATGGGCTATTCTATCAGCGGAGCACTTCCGGCGTTATGAGGCTGTCTCTTTGCGGGCAACACTGCCGCACATTTTCGCGCTTCTGCTGACATACATTCCGCCACGTGCCTCAACTCGCTGCGTCCCAATAGCCGGGATAATCGGCTTTTCCGGGCCAATCAGGATCGATATATTGTGCCTAGAGCATACTTCCGTTATCGTACGTCTGCGACGGGATGTAGGTACTGCATGTCATTGTTTGCGGGAAATTAAGATACAGTACTTTTACTGACGGCGCTTCAGCTGATTTGTTATTTTCTTGCTACAGCGGATGCGGTAATGAAAACAAGCAAAAAACATAAACTTCCCAGGGTAACCAGGATTAGCATAGTGCCATTAGTGCGTATTTGCATAATACGCTGCAGCCGGGATATGTTGCATCCCCGTAATGCAGTCAGTACTCCGTACGAACGGGGCGTATACTTCTTTTTGGCGGCCCTTGCCCCGACACAACGATTTCCAGTACTGGAGCGGACGCCGGAAATTAAAACCGGCAAAAAAGTTGATTTTGCGGAAACGTATTACCGGAACACCGCATATATTAGAATCCCGCACCGGCTAATACCGCTTTCGATTTAAAGGCGATGCAGAATATAGCATTCGACGGTTATTTACCAGTAAAGACATTCACACGTGATTTTTTAAAAATGGTTTTTAACGCAGCTATTACATGCCTTATTTTGGTCTCGTGTATGTGGAACATAACGCTTTGTTCTCATCATCCTGAAAGACAGCCATTTCAGTTTCCTAGCGGTCAAGTCGTTCCAACACATGTTTTGTATGCCATCGTTGAACAGGCTGTGAAAGTCTACATTTCTGAAAGTCAAAAGCTTAAGACAGCTGCTGACGAAAAGGAAACTCCAAAGGAATCGGTCACCAATAATTTCGCTTTTCAAGTCACTTTATTGTTTGGTTCGTTTGGAATAATCTTTCTTCTAGTTTGGATATTAATCGAGGCTCTTCAGGATCTGCATGGAGAAGGCTTGGATAATATGAAATTCAGATACCCGTTTGCTCATGAGGAAGACCTCGTTCCAGAATATAGCTGCGGACCGGTAATCAGAAGACCACCTACCAAACGCAGAAAGAAGATCCAGTACACGGAAAATGCTGAAGGTATGATTGTGCAGGCTTTGACATCCGCTGCCGCCTATAGATCGACCAGAATAAATAATTAGTTGGGCAGATTCTTAATTGCATGATTGGATCAAATACATAACTAGTTGTCACGGATGTAATATTCGTAAAATGTTGAGTGACCCATGTAATTTGTATTAACAGATAGGTGAGACAGTAAAATAAAGTTACATATGCTAATTCCCTTATTTCCGGTTTTGATAATATTAATGTTGAAAAAATTTATTAGATCGCCCCGTTTTTAACGTTTTAGAACAAAGACAGTTGTATTATCAATTACATATTTTGAAATAATGCAGGCACCGCGGCAGGTAAGGTGCATAGAAAAGCGGATTATTATCGCGAATACGAATTCTGAAATGCATTTATGCAGCGCATTATATATTAGACTGTACACTGGAAAATTTCGGTCTCGTTGGTTATCTGGCCAGTAATATCAATCGGAATATGGTTTTTTGGCCAGTATTATCTGTAGGTGTGATTTGTGCCTGGCATTGTTATACGTATACGGTATATTTGTATAATATGGGACACATGTGCGATAATACGAACCTTACATAAAAATTATGATGGGAGGTCATAATGGTACCTGTAGCGCGCAGTATTTAAAAACGACGTGTGTTACCGCATGTACTATGTATTGTACCGGTACATGTGCACAGCATGTAATTTTAAGGGAAATGGCCCGGTACATAGCGTCCAAAATGGTATACATACACTAAAACTTTCGCTTGCGCGCACTCCGAATCACTTTTTTGTAATACTTTATGTCGTTCTAAAGCTGAATAAATTGTTTACATTGTTCTGAAAACCGTTTGCGCGCGCAACATCCGGTTGCTGAGATATGGTGAAACAAAATGGGCAAAAAGTTTAAACGCATTGTCGTGTACGAAAAGTCTGGTTATTACCCGCTCTTCTTGAAACTTTGCTATAAAAGACACATGACCATAAGGTCGAAAGTGAACCAGTATCAGATTCACAGCATTTTTTTTCGATTTTAAAATGAATTTTAAAAATTTTAAAATTCATTTTAAAATTATGGGAAAGTGCTATGAACCTGAAATTGGTTCACTTTCGACCTTATGATCATGTCTTTACAAAGTTTCGAAGAAGATCGGTAATAACCAGAACTTTCGTACGATATTCATTTCTTTTACAGTTATATCTCGGCAACCTGTTGCGCCTTTTCAGAACAATGTAAACAAATGATTTAGCTTTAGAATGACATAAAGTTTTATAAAAAAGTGATTCGGGTGCGCGCAAGCGAAGTTTAATAATATACCATTGTAGACCATTTTTTCCCAAATACTGAGCTCTACATATATATACAGTAGTATAAGTGCATGCGTTGCATCGGCATAAAGGTATTTTAAATTTGTAAACGAGCGAAGAGGGATAAGCGATTTTGAACCAAGGCAAATTGTTATTATTGTCAAAGAATCCAAGCGGCGGTTGTACTCGTACATAATAATTTACTGTTCGTTGCAGAATAAACTGCAAAATACTGGATCACTTTTTTATTTACTTTATTTATTCATTTTATTGTAGCTCGTTGCTTGTCTTTTTTCATGAATGCTAAATTGTTGAACAAATCCGATTGCTGCGTTTATCTAAAGATTTACATACATATACATGATTACGTCATTCTATCTTTGTAAATCATGTAACTGGAGGTTCACAGGCTTCTGCTCTACTCTTTTTTAAAGTCAAAAATTTATGGAGTTTCAAGTACTTCCGGTATCTTTACAAAAAACGCTTCCGTTAAGTTATGAAAAAGTGCAATAGCTAAGTACTTTATCTATTTCTTGCAATACTTATCTTTATAATTATTTATTTATAACAATAAAGAAGTAAGCAGAAAAATAAATCAACTTTATAGTGGAAGGTCGAGTAATAATAATCTTTTACCAATATTACGAAAAAAAGTTGTTGGTCTTTTTTACTTTCAAAATTCTTCCTCAAAGATTTTAGTTGTGTTATATTAGTAATTTTGATAACTGATGAATTTTTCAACGTTTGTATGTTTTAAGCAAATAAAAATAAAGTGAAAATTTATGTAAAGCAGTTGGACTTACTGGCCAACAAAAAACGAATAATCGATTAGCTTGCATATTTGAAAACAGGTTTACGTCGTTGCTAGCAAGCGGTTTGGATTAACAGTGTGCGTACTAGTACTATGTGCACTATGTATGTACAAGCCAGTCGACAAATCGAGCATCAAGAATAAAGCAAAAATCTCAGTTCATGAGTTAAGGTGTCCATATGCATTGAATAAATGCACGTTTTTTCCATTCAAATTTATCGCCACTAATACCATACCCACTAATCACGCTAGAGAAATTTTAAATATCGGTGTAACATGTATGTATGTATAAATAAAATATCGGAAAGTATTTTTTATTATTATTAAATTGTCTTCAATAACCATAGTGTTGCGACCAACATTGAATCCAGTAGCGCGCTTATTGCGCTCCGCCTGTACCTTTATCTACTCGTCTGGTCGTTTTAAAGTGAAACACAAATAGTAAATTAATAACACTACTACTAATAATAGACACTAATAACACTAATAATAACTAATAATAACTGCTAATAATAATAATAACTAATAACTAATAATAACTAATAATAACTAATAATAACTAATAATAACTAATAATAACTAATAATAATAACTAGTAATAACTAATAATAACTAACAATAACTATATAATAATAACTAATAATAACTAATAACTAATAATAACTAATAATAACTAATAATAACTAATAATAACTAATAATAACTAATAATAACTAATAATAACTGATGGCCAACTAATAATAACTAATAATAACTGATAATAACTAATAATAACTAATAATAACTAATAATAACTAATAATAACTAATAATAACTAATAATAACTAATAATAACTAATAATAACTAATAATAACTAATAATAACTAATAATAACTAATAATAACTAATAATAACTGATAATAACTAATAATAACTAATAATAATAACACTCAAATCTTCTCGTCTTAACATGGTTTCATAGCAGGCAGTCCGGATGACGCATTGCGTCCAAGTCAAATTCCCGCGCTCACTGGTATAAAACGGAAAACGACGACGACTTTACAGGAAAGCGCCTGCGGAAAGAAAGCTCGCAATCCGTTTACCTCATCAAGGGTCAGCTTACCGTTCAAGCAACCCCTACGTGGTTTTCCAAAAGTCCCTGCTGCAGTTCACCAACCAATTGGACAGTGTCTTCCCTCTACGTCGGCAGTAGACTCGAGACCGTTTAAGCCGCCCAAGACGCGTCTTCACCCGGTGTCTGGTACTGCGGCTCAGTCGGATAGAAGGATTGCGGAAACCATCCTGAGGGAAATTCGAACAGTTGATCTGGTGCTACCAGAGGCGATTTATATTGATGCAGTGAAGCAGGTATAATGTCCACTATGATATATTTTGTCAATCCAAGTTAGAATTTTCTGATCTACAGATATTAGCACTCCACAAGCCAGATATTGACCGGATACTGCAGTGGCTTAGGACTAGTCCGCCTCAGGTTTACCAACCTAGCAGAGCAGGCGTCAAAGAAGCTTGCCGGTTCTGGTCTGGATTCCTCAATGATTATGCGGTTGTCAATGTGGATGGTAAAGGTCACTGCGCATATATGGCTATATCGCAGTCTTTGACCGGCACACAGGAGAACTATTTGCAATTGCGACTTGCTGCAATCTGGGAGTTTTTGGAAAATGTGGATGTATTTCGCGACTGGAATAATTCCCTCCATGACGCCGAAGATTTCAAATCTCTCATTCGAACAACGGCCGCATATCAGAGAGAGCTCGAAGGCGGACTCGAAGAATGGGGAGGCGCGATGACCATGCAGGGAATCTCTGCCGCTATTCGACGCCCGATATACAATTATGTCCAGTTTACATCGGAAGAGTACGCTCGGCTAGGTTGCAACCGTGTACGGAGTCCTCATGAGGTATTATAAATTTCCAACGCTTTTTAAATGTAGTTATTTCAGAACAACGAATTGAAACTTTATCTGTAATCTAGGCGCGGGAAAAGATCACCAACGGGGAGGGAAGCGGTCTCCATTGGCAATATCAGGATATCCATGGGATCCCGCTGGGAACACCGCCAATATGCATCATTTATACGAACTTCAACCACTACAAATCATTCATCCCATTAAGACCGGACGTGGAACCCTATCCTCCGAGAAACATCTGCCGAAGCCAAGGGATTGTTATTCCAGCGGAAATCGACCCGTTTGCACTTGTGATTGACGAGGAGCTTGGAGAACTGAATTCCTAGTTCGGTGCCTTTGTTTTACTTTTGAACCTGGTGTTGTGTTTTGCCTATTGCATTAAAGTCTGTTCTGATGTTTGTCGCTTCCTCACATTTTCGATCTGTTAACCTTTTCTTCCGTTTAATTTACTTGGATTTTAATTAGATTTTATTTGTTATTGTCAACAGTCCAGGAAATTACTCTAACCCGGGAAATGTTTTATATTTTAACGAATATTCTGAAATTGGTCCAGCCGGTTATACTTGCGTTAACCGAATCGAATAAACAAGGCGAAATCACGCTCAATTCACGCGGAAAAATTCATTTAAATGGAACAAATTCATTACGCTTTACGAAAAACAGACTCTAATGGGCTCAATGCGAACGGTCCAATACCTATTACAGACACCGGTATTCACCGAAGGTGAATTACGGGGCCTCGCTCTCACGAGGCTTGCATGTAATAACTAATAATAACTAATAATAACTAATAATAACTAATAATAACTAATAATAACTAATAATAACTAATAATAACTAATAATAACTAATAATAACTAATAATAACTAATAATAACTAATAATAACTAATAATAACTAATAATAACTAATAATAACTAATAATAACTGATAATAACTGATAATAACTAATAATAACTAATAATAATAACACTAATAATAAATAAATAAATAAATACTCGTAGTAAGTACGAAATGCGTACGATGACGTAGAGTGCCGGGTTTAGATAGCCGTACTGCCCTATGACAAGTGAATGGGCGATGGTCGTTTAAGTGAAACACCAAAAATAATATTTCCCACAAACCGATTTTCTTTCGGAATTTTTCCTCATCCGATTAAACAGATTACAGCCTTTACAGAGTTCTGTACTTGAAATTTTAAAAAAAACTTGTATGTACCGTTTTCTTGCAAATGCGTCGTAAAGAGATCGTGACGAAAGCGCTTTACCCACTGCACTACGCTCAAATATTTGCAGTCACCGCCATACATAGGCGGCTGCACCTTCGCCGTGTAAGAAGTGTATTTAGATCAAAATGAAATCAGTCTAAAGACACCAACTTCGACGAAATGAAGAAAAAAATTCGGTTGACCATAAATTTACCTGAACTGACTTAACAGCCGCACATGTGTGGGGGGGGTGATTGCAAATACTTGAGCGTAGTGCAGTGGCAATCGTTGCGTGGCTAAAGCGCTTTCGTCACGATCTCTTTAACGACGCGTTTGCAAGAAAACGGTTCAAGATTTTTTAAAAATTTCGAATACTTTGTAAAGGCTAAATTCCGTTTAAGCGGATGAGTAAAAAATCCGAAAGAACATCGGTTTGTGGAAAATGTTATTTCAGGTGTTTCATTTAAACGACCATCGTCATTCACTTGTTATAGTGTTTCACTTAAACGACCATACAAGTACTTAATTTTCTTACAAGCTTGTACATGGATACGTCCATTACACGTGTATTAACATGCATGTACACGTGCTTGCACGTGTATTAGCTAACAATAATTATGCGCCTTTTGTACTTATGTGCTTATATTGTACGACCACATTCATCTTTTAAGGTACAAAGAAAAAATGCAGTAAGTACATATTTAAAACCATTAAAATTTTAAACATTGAATATGTGTCTGCGCTAGATACCTACAGTATGTAATATTAATATTATTATGTTAGATCATTGCCGCTCTACGATAATGCAGACAGATAGAGTTCAAACGACCAAGTTACCCAGTGCAACACGAACACCTGCTCTGGCTTAATACAGGCCGTTTTGTGTGACCCGACCATGACCAGAAACTCACCGGAAGACCAAGTGTTCAGGCCTGATATGCCCCAAACGTACAGGCCTGTCCGGCATGGGATAGGCCTGCACACAATGGCAATCAGACCAGCGGCATTCACTTCCGGTGCCTGTGCTGGCTCCACCTGGGCCTGAATTAGCAGATTTTCTGGTAACGGCCGGGGGTGTTCGCTTAATTAATTGTTGCCTACATATTAATTTCGTTTTTTCACTTGAAGTGTGCAAGACAAATTACGCCGGTTTATAGTGATCTAATTGACGTTTAACTGAAATAACAAAATTTTAATCGCCTTAATTCGGCTAGCACAAAAAATTGCAAAATAAGTTGACTTCAATGTAGACGAAAATTGACAGACTGGAGATTAAAAATCAAGTGGATATCAACTGGAAGGCAAGATAACCAGGCATACGGCAAGAAGAGAAAAAAATACAAAATTGCCCAAAATTAGTATTTGGCTTATAACATCAGTGAATCGCCCGTGTCCATGCTGGCGTCGTTGCTTCCGCCTGAACCTTCCAAGCGCTTTATCGCGGCTTTGTGATTACATTTCGCGGTTTCCAGACAGGTGGTCACCTTCTTCCGAAATTTATCATCCGTCAACTCCGGCTTGTTTCGAAACGCGCACCAGGATACCAAGCACTCTACATAAGGACAATAATAAGCAGAAATAATAATATGGCCTGGGCTAGGCTATAAAATAATTTTTAAATATCCTTTTGTTATAAAAAACAAGACGTAATAAAAATAAACAGAAATAAAAGTAACAATTCCTGGCAGAACTGAATTACCTTGTACACGCTTGATAGTAGTACGTTTGTTTAACTCACGCCAATTCTGCGCATGTGCATTTGCATTTGCACGGATGCGCAAGTGTGTATGAGCATTTGCACACATGCGCATATGTATAAGTGCATTTGCAATTGCACACATGCGCACAAGTATACGATACACCTGTGCATGTGCATCTGCACGGATATGTGGATAAATGGAAATAATTTTGTAAATTTGATTTGTATGCTGACCACAACACAGTATGTCGTGATTGAATGTACCATGTACCATGGTACATGGCCCAGGTACATGGTACAGGTACCGTTACCATGGTAACGCGTACCTGGTGCCAAGTACCAGTCGCATAATAACAGATATGCATTGGCCTATGAAAATCTAGTTGGTAATTACAAACATGTGTGCATTCTATCTGAAAGTTACGGAAGAAAACTGTTTTCGGCCATTGTATACTATCCAATCTTTTTTTGAACCATTGCAACTGCTACTGATTTGTTTACCGGGTGTTGATATGATATTGTTGTACTATTCCATGGATTAACCAGGATTGATAGCCAATTACTTTCAAGCTCTGACGGAATAACGGGTAAGGGGAAAGAAGTAAATGTTTGTTTGGTTTACTTTCGTTTCACCCAGAATTCCGATCTTGCGTCAGATTTCGTTCTGTTTGTGTGGATATTTAATTGCATTATTTAAAGCTTTATTGCATTTGATTTACCAGCTTTACTTAATATATGTCGTCATAAACAACTCCGTTTATCATGGCATCATTTTGTAAATAAAAACCACAATATCAAACAATGTTTCGTCGGTACATGTGACAAAAGAAATTGCAAACGCTACAATTCCAGTTTCTGGATACAAAACGTTTTAATGTGTGAAAACCAGGCTCTGTAAAGTTTGGATTCCAAAACGCCCAGGGTGCCATTGCTATCAAAGGCCAGCATGATACACAATTGAATAAATTTATTGCATTGCAATCATTCTACCGACAAAGTCTACAGATATTTGTATGTTATGCATTTCTTTCAATCCCAAAAAGTTGCACTTTCCCGATGGAAAGAGCACAGCAGTACACCAAGGCAATTTTATACGTAAACCACTAAACAATTCAGGAGTATATTCCAACTTGTAATGTTGACTAAATTTCTCAATATGTATACGTTTATCAAAATCATGACTGACAACAATGTTAACAATTCGAAATCCCGAAACGATACAACGGTACCCAATTGATTGAAGAATGCTGGTAAACTTGTCGACCAATTCTCTGGCAGCAGATTCCGAACGAGCGCCATTGACCGTGATTTTTCCGTTGGAATAAAGTTGGCAATGTGCTTTATAGGGAGACAGAATACGAATGAGTAAGCCGGAAAACTTGCGGGGAATATACTGCGCCATCGGTACTTTCTTTTCAATCTCCTTCAGATTGAGGATAGTGTTTAAATCCGCAACGGCAACGACATTCATGATGTTTGGCATGGCAGTAGAACCACAAACCGAACCGAATAGCTTTGCGCAGTGTTGTTTGGGGCACATCTGTTAGACGGTGATAGACGGGGCAACCTAGTTCCTCAAGATTGACCACTTGGGGCACATAACGCTCCAGTAAACGGCACTTCTCCAAACCCTTGGCATAGAAAGTTAGCTTACTAGGACGGCCAATACGGTTAAACATGTCTTCCAAGGCAACCGTCACTTGATTGTGTCGATAATCACCAAAGGTGCTCCAGAGAAGTCCATGGGAATGCTTGGCCTGTTTCTGCAACTCGCGAGCGTGTTTACCGGCTGATCGTGGTAAGCTGAAGGTGTACTGCCCACTGTCATGTTTTTCTGGGCACGAGAAGGCCAGCTGTTTGATATATGGTACCTTTTCAATTATAAACCAATCAGCATCTAAAACACATGGCAGAGCCATGGTCAAGACTAGACTGAAATACACAACTCGTTTATCACTTGGCAACAGCGTTGGTTTATGGTACCTGGTGCCAGGTACTTTACCTGGCACCATGTACCACAGTTGACCTTCAAACATTTGTTTTACAACTTGCGTGCGCTCAACATACACTTCATTTGAGTTCAGCTCTGACAAAAATGGAACCATCTCTAAAACGCCGCCGTTCAGACTCGAAGCCTAAAATGCCACTAGTCAACAAGACTAAGTGCAGTGTCGAGAAGACTCATCCTCGTTTAGCCTTCACAGAGAGCGGTCGTCCTGTGTATCGTCTGGGCTACGAGAAATTTGTGCATGTCGATTATCAGTGGGAAGAAACTCGAATTTTTATTGGTGAATGGAAGGAAGGGCCGCCCGGGAAATGGAAGCAGACGTGGGCGAAAACGATAAGCCTTACCAAAAGAGGATTCATGCGCTTGGTATCGTTACTGCTGACGGGAAAAGCCGATCTGGATCATTCCAATGGAAATTTACCTCCTTTATTCTTACTGGACCGGGGGGTGTACTTCAGCTGGAGCCGTCCTAACGTGGCCAGCTTTCGCCGCTATCAGCGGTCTCAAGAAGGTGATTTGATGCCCACGAGAAACGGGATTTCATTGAACGAGAAGTGCTACGAAGCGTTGAAAGAACTCATACGGGATTTCACTCTCTTCAAACATATTGTCAGTGTGGACGAAATCGTTGAGGATGTGGATGCTGATAAAAAAGGTCTTTGTCATGAGAAGTTGTGCGACGCTATTATTGATGCTATGGTGAAACTAGTTCATGAAAGATGCCCTGATTTCCGGGACGTGTTAACGGATACGGAATGGAAAGATGCTGTGCAACGTCTGTTGGATGCTCGTTTTGTGCATGGCATTTTGTTTGGTTTTGAAGAACTGAGCTTTAAGCAAGCCTTAAGTTTGGATGTGGTGAAGTATTTGGATACACATGAAAATCAAATCCGTATGCAAGTAAACTGCTCTCTGAACCAAGTTTAACTTAGGATTTCTGTAATGCATTTTATGGTTGTCACTACAGTATAACACGGCATTTGTTCTATTTATTTCTTTGAACAGATCGTTTTTGCATGGTTCATTTCATTAATCGTTGACATATCTGACGGAGAAAAGATCCGTCAACTAGTGCTGTGTTGATATCAAAAAAAGAATTTACATACTGACACACCATCTTGTCGTTGCTTGTTCGATTATCGGTAAATAAATGTACAATATTAGTGAAAGATTCGCCGCTAGCGCGTCTCAAAACAAAAAATAAGCAATATTGACCACACACGGTACTATATTCGGACTGAAACTGTTCGTCTTGACAGACAATAGTATTATTCTGAGCAAGCATAGAGAAGTGCTGAGAATACGTTTCCAACGCTTTACCATACGAATCAAACACTTCCAAGATTCCCGCTTGGGTTTGTAGCAAAGCAATCCAGTGTGCGCCATTTTGGTCAGAGGGGTCTGTGTTAACTACACATGCTCCAGGGTACGGGGCTAAACATGGCGGAACTTGGTCACTGGCAAACACACCGCGGAACAGCTGGGTGGTAACAGGATTTCCCTGCAGACAGTGGTGAATTTGCTCCGTGTTCATGTTGAAAAATCCGCAATCAACTGGCGATGTTGATTAATTTCGATGATGCTGTCATAAATCAGCATGCACACCATCATGATTGTTGTCGTCAATGGTTTAGCAAAGGAAACTGATACACTCAGATTTCCTTGTTTTATCAAGGTCAAAGGTCCCCGGCCAGTATGTCCTGGTGTAAGGTCAAAACCAAATACGGTATATCCTTGATTATATTCGGTGCGGTTGAACGGTAGTCCGCCTTGCAAACTCGGTCGGTATCCCAGAGTATCGAGCAAACCATCGTAGCACTCCAAGGATAAGTTGTGTTCAAAATCACTTATATAGGGTTTGCTAGGAAGCTCTGACCATCCACTTCCACACTAAGTTGTGTAATGTTGAAATGTTGAAAGTTAAACGGATTCTTTTTGATGGATCCGTGAAAATCTTCGCTATCGACAAATCCAACGAACACGACTTTGGGTATTTGCCCAATCTGTAGATTGCTGACCACGGTGCTTTGCGTCTTTTGAGGAATGTCCGACACGCGCATAACTATCCGCTCAACATGATATTTGACGGTTTTCTTTAACAATTCACCAGCAACAGCTGTCAGAAAATCCGGTGAGGGAATGTAGCGTCGGATAGACAACCGAGCATTGCGAATGAAGGGCTTAAACGTTTTCGTGGCATCTTTATCCCACACACGCAGGGCAAATTCAGGGCGGCTGACTACCAGACGGATGTTCACAGGAACCCCTGTGCACAGTGGTTTGCTTTGGTCAAACAAGTCCGAAAATAGTCTTCCAGAAAGTTGAACATATTGTCCGGTTTGAAATAAAGCCTTACGGCTCTTTTCTCCTTGATTAGACGTCTCATCGTTATGTTTGGCGGGCGTGTCCAAATAGAATGCAGCCGAAGTCAACTGGCTACTTTGAGCCTCTTTGCTATGCGATAGCAATGACTCAAAGTATGCTCGGTATGGATAGAACGTGGCGGCATCCGAGATCAGTCGATTGGCTACCGTTACATGACAGGATGAGAAGAGCGAGTGCAAGAAATTATTGACCGGTGCCACCCCATCATCCGCGGTTACCAATTCCCAGTCACCGGTAGTTTTACGCACTTTGATGCCCACTTCCAACTCCAATATCATATCTGCCAAACTGAGCAGACCAGCCGTACTAGGTGGTATAAAGAAATTAATGTCACCAGCGGATCCATTGTCGGTCAAAATAGTTGTAGGGTTCAGTTTCTCGTGTTCGGTACGCCAGCGGTCGGTCAATGTAGCCGGCAAGGCAAACAGCTGATTTTCCAGCTGCATGGCCGGTTCGGAATGTTCCATCATGAGCAGTGCCATTGTTTAGAAAAGTCCGGAATGCTGGTTGGCGGAATACGTTTAATGCGATGTACTTTACGTTTAACACGTTGTTTCTTCCGAACGCCTTCTCCTTCTTGCGAAACTAGGCGTTTACCAATCGCCGCTCCTGCTTCTTTAATAACCCCGGTTGCCGCATCTTGCAAGTGAGGGGTGGCGGCTTCTAAAGCAGCTTTAGCATGCGGCGCTGCTCTACGCAGTATCGGTTTGGCAAAGTTGGTAATTTTGGCAAATAAATTCTTCAAAATTTGTGGGAACCCGGATCCATTTTGTAGTGTGCCACGATAGCGAATGAGAGCACTTCCTCCCGTTTGGCTCACGAAAACGTTTTCGTAGCGTCGCGGGTCTGGGACATAGGCGACGAGGGCATTTTCAGTATAAGCGTTGTGGTCGAAAATGTAATTTTACTAGTGATTTTCCCGTCTGAAATTTAGCGTCGTCACCCAGGTCGTTGGCAATAGTTAAATGAATAGTTTCGAAATGTTGGCGTAATACGGGAACATAGTGGGGAATGTCGAAACGTGCTTCCACAATTTGGTTGACCTCCCTCTAATAGGTACAGCGCGCAAAACTGCGCGGCAGTATCACCAATCAGGCTGTAGTCTGCAACATCACTGTACAGAAACAGGCTTTGGTTCCCCAGCATGGTGTTCACCGGTCGTTCCGACAAGAAGGTGGTCAGTTTAGGTGGAGGAGCTTTACTGAGGAATGACAAGTACTTGATGCTACTGGTTTTGGTAACAAACGGAAAGGGTCCCAGTGCATTGGAGTGAGTTTCTGCGGGTACATCTGGTTTAAATTCCGCTTGTTCAAACCCGAGTATTTTTTGCAAGGTAACGGATCCAGGGGGGAAACGTAACTGACACTCGATCGTTGCCAATAAGCAGTTTCACTCGGTGGTTTGTTGAGGTTAAAAAATTGCAAGTTGAAAGCTTTGTTATCCGGCAAAGCACTTTTATCCTGATGTAGAGCGTCATCCACCATGTACGGTCCGATTGTAGGAGCTAAGTTGTTGACGGTTTGCAGTAAAAGCTCGGCATTCTTATAATTTCCGGGAGGAACCGTCAAAATTTCTTGGTGCACAACGTAATTGACGCTATCAATAAAGTCTTCTTCTTTTTTAACCCGAAATTCGCGGACAATATCCAGTTGAATTTTTTGCTCGGTAGGTAGAGTATAGAAAGAATTTAAATACTGCAGTTCCACCAGGGCCATTTCCCATTTGCCCTTCAAGGTAATGGGATGCTTCAGTTTGGTAGTCCAGTTGGAGGGCGTGTTGGCCGCTTCTGTGGCGACATCACTGGGTAAGGTTATGTAGAAAGGCGCTCCTTCAAATATGATAGTGGTTCCCAAGAATCGTGTTCGGGTCCGTAACCTAACCAACGGACTAATGCTTTCTTTCCGCGCCGCTTAACAATAAAATCAATTGCGTGTTCCTTATGCTGTGGATTCGAGACTGGTGACAGTTCATGCTCATAAAACGTTCCTTTAATAACTTCATCTTGGTAATCCTTCAAACGATAGACCGGAATACGATGCGGGATCACCTGATGGATGTAGAAGATTTCTTCTTTGAAACGGTAAGTATACCCTTTTTCCACCTTTGTTTTATGCACCGCAATCCGCACGGCATCACCGACTTTGTACCGTGGCTTCTTGACGTCTTTGTGCTTGTACAAAGCATTGTACACTGCCAACGAATTGTCTTGCCGTACATCACTGGGTCGCATACCATGCGCACGGTGTTTGGAATGGTTGTACGAGTACACCAGGTCTTGCATTTTGTCAATATAGCGCGTCGATAAGCGGGACCGAAACAATCGAAATATCCGCGTTTTGATGGTTCGAATAACGCGCTCCGCCATGGAACACTTGATGTCTTCGTTCTCGGAAGTGAAGAACTGAATTTGTTTGTCTTTCAAGTACTTGGCCACCGTTCTATTCAACATCTCAGTCCCTTTATCATATTGCAGTTTTTCCGGCTCTCCCAAATCATTGAACGCATTGGTTAGCGCTTCCTTGGTATCAGCACCCGTTTTGGTTTTCAGAGGTTGAATACTGAGTTTCTTGGAAAAACAATCAATAACAAACAGCAAATATTTGTATCCATCGTTTTCCTTCGAATACTTGGCTAGATCGGCCAGATCCGCTTGATACTGTTGGCGGAGGTTAGTTGTTATTATGCGGTTGCGCGGGAAGCGTTTGCGTGATTCTTTGTTGACAGTGTAGGCATCGATCTCCTGCAAGATCGCCTGTGCTTTCCGTTTGTCGGCTCTGGTCTTTAAACTTTTTCGGAACCTGTCGACGCCGCCAAGACTTCCGGGATCGCGAGGGTTCAGATATTTTTTCATCAGTTTCTCCATTATTGCAACAACTGGATACGCAATTGATCTTAAATATCCGACACAGTCGCAATACAGTAGGAAGAAAGCTGGACATTATGGTAAGGTTATCCACTGAATCCTATGTTGACCACTACCACTTTGAACAGTTCGGGAACGCAGTTTCCGACCGGTATCTTCGTTGGCACTTTCCGTTTTCCTTTTTCCAATGGATAATGGAAACAAGGGTACACGGCGTTGTTTACGGCTATTTGGATGATCGTCCGCGGTTTTACGCTTTCGTCCTTTTGCTGGCAGTGTTGGTGGAAACAAGGCAACACGACCATGTTTTATTGGACCATCTCGATCGTCTTCCAGATACCTTTTTTGCCCTTTGGTTGGCAACGTCGATGGAAATAATTGTGGGCGCGGTTGCTTTGGCACTTGTTCTATTTCATCTTCGTCAGTTCTTTTGCGTTTGCGAAACTTTTCCAGCTCTTGTTGTACTCCTAATGGTGCCGGTTGCAACACGGTTTCATCGGAGAATTGCACAGGGTTTTCGTCAGGTAAGACTTTTTGTTTCAATGCTAAGAAACGCTCCAAAATGCTTGTTAGCAGGTCGGCTTTCTCATACTCGTTTATATCGGTTCGTCTTAAGGTTTTGGCAACAAGTTCGTCCAAAGAAACAACAGCTCTGGCTTCCGGAGGTTCTTTGTTAACTTGTATTTTCTCATGCAGGCGCTCTTCCATAATGCGTCTAGGAACAATATAGTACTCATCCATTTCCAATCAACGATGTTAGGACCCCAGCAATAACCGGTAAGATAGCCCCAATAAATCCTCCTTGTTGTAAGATTATTCGCTTTTGTTTGAGAGGATAGCGTCGCAGTGCAATGAGCTTTAATGCTTTGCGATGGCGTTTACATTTATCCATTTGGGATGGTGTCAATGCGACAGTATTTTTTTACAATGTTGACGGCGATTTCTTCCAAAGCTTTCATCTGCGGTTTACTCATGTAACTCATCAGAACGCGTCGTTGTCGCGGTTTTAAATTCTGTAGGGTGATGATAAAGGGTGCTAACGATTTTACGCGTTCCGACATTTTGGCAGTTGTGACGAATTTCGATCCAAATAAATCCTCATGTGCTCGTTGGGAAAGATATGGGAGCGAATACGTAAGTATTCTGGGCACGTTGGTCGCAAGTCCAAAATTAAAGGTTGGTACGGTAGTGCAGTGACCTTACTATAAGCAGTAACCAGTTGCTTCAGTCCGGTCTGTCTGGCCAATAATGCTATTTGATTTACATCTCTCACGTTTTTGAAAAGGACTAGATACTGTAGATTGAGGGTAATGTCCCGCATGACATTGCCTTGCTTAAATAGATTTTGTAGAAGCACGATAACTGAAACATTTTTGTGATGGATTCCGCGTGTAAAAAGATTGGCACACCGCACGTCTTTGCAGAGATCAGTCGCCAAGTCGTCAATAACAACTAATGTAGGCACCTTTTCATCTAGTGACTCGGAACAGGCAAAGAATTCGTCCAATCCTTTAATAAATTCTATAAAAGGGTTTGCAGATAGTAGCTTTTCGAATCCACTTTGCCAAGCACCGTAACAATAGATAATTTTTGTTGGTGGTTTATCAATCATGCGGTTCCGTTGCTCAATTAATGAGAAAACAAACTCTGATTTACCCGACATGGTCGGTCCACAAACACACATCCCAAAGGGCGCACTGAGGCGCGGATATTCTTTAACAGTACTATACATTTTTGAAAATAATGTTTTCAGTATTGTTCTACGTGCTTAAATGGCGAATTCAGCAAATTAAGTAATCTGATGTTGAAATTAGAAGCTATCCACCGCTCCGCACATGGTTTCTCGATTGGTATTCCTTGCTTCAGCCAGCAGAAAAGGTGACACCTTTTCAGCGCTCTTCTGTTCATGTTCATGTCTGCACAAAAACAATAACGAGTCTATTTAAGCACTGCAAACACAACACAAGGTGCATAACATGGCTGGGCTACAGCATATGCTTCCGGACGCTGTTGGCGTCCAGAAGAAATGCGAAAAAGTTTTGTTAGTGATTCTGTACGTGTTATTTTTTATAGTATTCGCTGCTATAATCATTACGGAAGGAATAGGAAAAGTCCTACAAAGTGATTCCTGGAATCAGACATTACGTAATATGACGCTATAACTCACATCCTGCGTTCCGTCTCTTCGACAAAGGTGAGGCAATAAAGATAAACGAGATGCCCGATAAAAAATGTAACCCTAAGTCCTTTGTTCAGACCGCAGATCCCGGAATACCATGTGGAGGGTACCCGATGTCCGCAATAACGACCATTCCGTATTTCGGGAGTTCTTCGACACGAAAAAGGGTGGATCTACGGTGCTTAAATACTTGCAAATAGTGGGAAGCACTGCTGGCCTTTGATAGCAATGGCACCCTGGGCGTTTTGGAATCCAAACTTTACAGAGCCTGGTTTTCACACATTAAAACGTTTTGTATCCAGAAACTGGAATTGTAGTGTTTGCAATTTCTTTTGTCACATGTACCGACGAAACATTGTTTGATATTGTGGTTTTTTTATTTACAAAATGATGCCATGATAAACGGAGTTGTTTATGACGACATATATTAAGTAAAGCTGGTAAATCAAATGCAATAAAGCTTTAAATAATGCAATTAAATATCCACACAAACAGAACGAAATCTGACGCAAGATCGGAATTCAGGGTGAAACGAAAGTAAACCAAACAAACATTTACTTCTTTCCCCCTTACCCGTTATTCCGTTAGAGCTTGAAAGTAATTGGCTATCAATCCTGGTTAATCCATGGAATAGTACAACAATATCATATCAACACCCGGTAAACAAATCAGTAGCAGTTGCAATGGTTCAAAAAAAGATTGGATAGTATACAATGGCCGAAAACAGTTTTCTTCCGTAACTTTCAGATAGAATGCACACATGTTTGTAATTACCAACTAGATTTTCATAGGCCAATGCATATCTGTTATTATGCGACTGGTACTTGGCACCAGGTACGCGTTACCATGGTAACGGTACCTGTACCATGTACCTGGGCCATGTACCATGGTACATGGTACATTCAATCACGACATACTGTGTTGTGGTCAGCATACAAATCAAATTTACAAAATTATTTCCATTTATCCACATATCCGTGCAGATGCACATGCACAGGTGTATCGTATACTTGTGCGCATGTGTGCAATTGCAAATGCACTTATACATATGCGCATGTGTGCAAATGCTCATACACACTTGCGCATCCGTGCAAATGCACATGCGCAGAATTGGCGTGAGTTAAACAAACGTACTACTCTTGATGCACTTGGCATCTAACACGTTCCGCGCAATAAGCGATGCGGCTGCGCCTTTTGCCGTCAACGCACCGTACACCAACTCCTCCTCCTTAAAAAAATGCAGCAGTCCAGCTTTGATGGCATACGGTACCTGCGTATGCTGCTTCATTTTGTCCTGAGCACCACAAAATGAGAAAAAAATTAGTCAAATTGAAAAAAATATTCACAATACATATTTTTAACAGTTAATTTTATATAAGCGCAGTTATTTGTTGGTCAGCAATTCTAACAAAATTTAATTAAAAATTTATTGATTTACCAATAGATCTTTGTCCTCGGCACTCTCCCGACTTTTAGACGCCACCCGAGACTCCAGTGACTGCAGCTAAAAATGAAAATCATACTGTTACCGAATGTCGACGATATAATATATATTATCAATATATTAAATAATTCATGCAATGTACACGTATTATTGATTACCTGTTTTCCAAGTTTCAAGTTGTCAGCGACTAGCTGTGAATTCTGAAAGAAAATAAATAAGCGGTAATGAATATTCGTCAAAAAAACATTTATGAATGTTACAAAAAATAAACATACGATAAACATATATATAAGTAAAATTAAAAATTTAATAGTTACTATTTATAATTTAAAAGAGATTTTATATGGCCGACTTAATGTAGCTTACTTGGTCTTTCAAGTGAGTCACTTCTTTTTTTAACTTAAGCATGTCGGTGCTTAAGACGTCGATTCGCTGTGCCAGTTCCGGGGTGCGTTCTCGGAATAACGTCTGCTGCCCAACATTTCGCTGATGTGCAGCGGCTTCCGCGCTTTCTCCGCTGGCTGACAAAGTGCTGCCTTCAACACGAGCGTGATGAGCCTCTGCATGCACGGCAATGCGCTGAACTGGCACAGATGGTAGAACCGCAACGCTAGACGGAGTAGTAGCATCGGGCGCTCGGATAACAGGGGCCGCTGGATTTACGGCTGGAACAAGCAGGGGTGGCATGGCTGGCAGACGTGTCGAGGCGGGTGCCAGTGCAGGCGTTGGGGCTGCCCGCTGTGAGTTCGTGGCAGGTTCCTTGGGCACCGTTGTCTTCCTGCCTCTCGCTCCAGCTTTTAGCGGCCGAGCCAGCGAGTCAATATACTTTTTTCGCATATCTTGGAGTGTAACACCGCACTTCTGGGCCACATTCTCCGCTGCATCGCGACCGTTGGAATCCTCGCGGTCGATGTCGCTCTGGTCCGCCAAATATCGATTCTCCAGTGCTTTGGCGTCTCTAGCTGTATACAAATATCCAATTTATAGTCTGTGATATTTACACTAATCATATATATATATTTTGTGGAGAACTTATTCAAGAAAAAACTTACTTTCGTCGAAGCGTAGAATAATACAAGGGATCCATTTCCCTTTAGACCACAATGCCTCACATGCATTTCCCTCCTCCAGCTCCATCTGAAATAACTCCCATTTGCGCAAACGGTGGTGATCGACGGTGCCACAACGTGGTTTCGCGTCCACAAACCAGTAGACTAGTGCAGATTTGGGAAACATTTTGATTTTGGGAAAGTTTTCTCACATTCAACTGACAATTCTTTTACTTGCATAAAACTGATACACCATATGGATGCATGTGCTCACACAGACTAGAGTAGTCTTTATGCATGCGAGAGGCGCGCTCTCTGACACGCTGCTCCGTACGTTATTTGCACCGGATATCGCGTTGCAGGTCTGCGTACGTATTGTCTGCGTACGTATTGCTACGCACATTCAGTATAACATTCATACGCTAGAACAATGCGTCTGCTTTCCGTGCCTCTTCCCGCGCTGGAGGTTTGCGTAATGCGTGTACACAATTAGCGTAGTCTTCCCACGGTACAGTTCTACGCACGTGTATTATCCCACGCTTTGGTCTTACATTTAATTATATAAATATCTCCGTGTCATTCTGCGCGTAATAGTGGCAGCCTGAACAGCTCTACCACATATATAGTAGGCACATTTGTACACTATATTACTATACAATACAGTGCGTCTATGTAGTAATACACAGTTCATTATGACAGAAATTTATTGCCAAAATTTTTTCGTTATATTTTGAGCGGAACATGGACGAACATTTGCTGCAAACCGATTCGGAGATTATTTGTAAACACTGTCTGACGGTATTTCCAATTACAAAGTACGCCAGTTATGCTAGAAAAAGCGCTTTGCGTCACCTGAAGACAAAAACACACTGATATACTTTCCAACACGGACGGCGATGTTTTTCCGGAGCAAGAGCATGATGTCGATTTTATCCCGTTTGAAGGCCAGTATGCCCATGCCGACGACGACTACATGGGGGCAGAGAATGCACCTGAACCAACATCCTGTCCGTCAGCACTCCTAGGACTATTGTACCTGCGTTTTGGTTTCTCAGAGCGAGAAGCAGATGCGATCCTTAAACTGCTTAAACTCAAGTTGGATTTCGGCGAACTCAAAACATCGCAAGAGGTTCTACAGACGGCAGGTGTCGCAGCAGCCACAGAACGGCTTGTGTGTAGGGGATGCGACGAAGAGTCTGAAATGGCGACCGGAAAAGATACGTGCGACAGAAACTGGCAAGTTAATAATAATTAAATTCACAAGAGTATCTAAAACATGTCGATATTTTAAGTACGAGTACATAAACAAGTACGTACGTACATAAACTCAATTACAGGCATATACTATGTACAGTAAATATAGTCAGGTACAGTAGTTTGTGGAAATAATCGCGCCATAATAATTGACGTCGTGCAAGCTAGTGTTATAATTGTACTGTAGTTTTAGTGTTACTAGTACACTAAAGGTAGTTACTTATTTCTTTTTTATTTCAGTTTTACTTACTTACTTTAAAGTAAGTTAGTCTTCGATTACTTTACTTTATAGTGAGCCTTGGACCTTATTATTTTAAGTAACATCTGTAACAACGCGTGGAATATAGAACATACAGTACAATAATGACCATGCCTTAACTTAATAATCAAGTAGTTCGCGATTGTCTGAAATTGTTGAATATGCGCTTGTCATTATTAAATTTGTACTGTACTTGACGGTATGTAAAAAGTCACAAAAGTGAAGTACAGTACTTAATTACAATCATAACTGTTACGACGTTATAAAATATATCGTGAACATTGTTGAATTTTTTTTATAGCGGCAATCCACAGATGGAAAAATACGTTACTGCAGATTTAGCCCGGCAACTTATCAACATTTGCCAAGGTACACGTGTTTTGCGTAATAAAGTTTACTATAATTATACTGCATGTATAAACCAATTATATGATTCACGCAGCTTTAATTAGCAATTCCACACGTATTGTAGTAAGTCTTCTGTTTGCAGATGAAGATGTCTACGATGGTATTTCTCGCTATCGGTCCGGAAACCTTATTCGGGACATTACTGACGGGCAAGCGTACCACAAGAGCCAAATTTCTGCACGACACACGCATGGTGCCGATCCGGGTGACATCGTAATAACGCTGGTCCTCAGCACCGATGGTGTACAAATATTTAAAAGCAGCACGCAAAGTTTGTGGCCAGTTTTTGCCCTGGTATCCGAATTGCCACCAGACAGGCGATTTCGCAATGAAAAGCTGATATGCTACTCTCTTTGGCAAGGAGTTGGAAAACCGCCAACACAGTGTGTGCTTCGAAATTTGCGCGACGAGATAACTGCTATTAATTCTGACGGCTTATTTATCAACACCAAAAGCGGAAGAAAAAGGATTTACGTGACATCACCGGCAATATCTGGAGATTTACCAGCCCGTTCACATTACTTAAACATGGTGGGCGTTAGCGGGCGTTTTTCTTGTGCTCTCTGTGAAATCGAAGGCAAGCGCGTTGCAAAAGGTTCAGGGACTTGTCGGATCTATCCGCCAGACAGAACACCAACCCGACGAACGACTGCTTCAATAAACCACAACGCGGAAAGGGCAACTGCAGACAAGCCAGTAAGACAGCGTCTTCATGCACCGGAAATTTTCAATTAGTTTATTCATTTACGTGTCTAATTATTTTTGTAAATTAACTCAATTAAAGTGGTAAATATTTCTGGGTTTTAGTCCAAAGGGTTTCGCGGTTACCCTAAACTTCTTGCTATCGACAATGATCTGAAGTATGGAACAGGAATTTTGCTAGATGCAATGCATGAATCTTCCTGGGAGTTGTCAAAAGTTATACAGGACTCTTGTTCACTGGATCTAGACGGTATCTGAGTGAGAAAAATGTATGTAAAAAATTACAAGACAATTTTGTTAACTGACATTGAAATATTGCCGTTACCCCATTTTAATAAACTATTTTCATCTTTACGCAAATTATTATTCGTGCAAAACATATTTTGCAGCGCGTGGAAGCTAATCGTCGGTATCAACAATTTTTTCCTCCTGCTTCGTTTGATCACAACCCGCTTTCGATAAACATCAGGCAATGGAAAGCTTCGCATTTTCGAGACTGGCTCCTGCTTTACTCAGTGCCGTGCCTAGACGGTATACTGGATCCCGTATATTTTGCAAATTGGTGCAAACTCGTCGACGCTGTAACAATATTATATAGCACCCCCATTCGACTGGATGACCTCAAACGAGCTGGCCAGAAATTGCACGAATTTTGCTTGGAATTTTACACTTTATTTGGTAAATGTATATGTTTATTTTGTTTTGTTACGTACAGAAGCACGTTTTACTTAATTTAAAATATTCACTCTTTGCTTAGATATGAATGAATTTGGAATCAATTTCCATGGTCTCCTTCACTTGGAAGAAATCGTTGACCTTTGGGGACCGCTGTTTTGCTATGATCTTTTTGCTTTTGAATCTCAGAATGGTTGGATGACGCGACATTCTCATTCTACGCACAACGTCACCAGAAGTGTAATGAAAAATCTCTTGGGTGCCCAAATTATTCGAAAACAAGCTGCGGACATTCGCCTTCCAAACGAACGATCTCTACTTCGTTTGGTACAAGGTCAACGGTAAGCTCGAACTAGGGGCATGCATGCTAAACTGATACTTTGGCACTTCAGTTATCAGACCGTAATTATGGACTTATTTTCTATACGAGTATGCATTTTATAGTATATTCAGAAGGTTAAATTAAGCTTTTTTTATACAGCTACACATACAGTATATACAAACGTACAAATATGACATGTTCATTATTTGTGTAAGCCAAATTAAAGGTAATTTATTAAGCATAACGTACGCAAATATTCTGAAATTCGCGCTTCGCTAAAAAACCGCCTGCTCATTATATTTTTATATGTAATTGCCAACCTGTACATATACCAGGTTAAAGGATGGGATTGAAGGAAAGGGTTGGTGTTCTTGGTCAGCGCTTTCGCGAAGTATGACTGTCGAACTGCCCCAAAATCATCCTTGCCATGGCCATGAAAAATTCTCGCTTAAAACGGCCATCATCGACGGAATTTCAGTCTGGACCGAACACTACCGTAAACCTAAGCGCACTCTGGGACGTTATTTTTTACTGACGGATACGCGCACTGGTGAAAAAGGTTATACTCAAGTACTGGACCTTTTATACTGTAAAACCTGCAACGATCTTACTTATGTGGGGTACCACCTGAAACCTCAGTTTAAGGAGCCAAATATAGTGGAGCTTTCGTTGTCTGGGAATGCGTAAGTCGTCTGTAAATTTAAGCATTTCTGCATAACTGAAGAACGTGTATATTCTGTTTATCTATTCTGGTTGTTTGCACTTGCTAATCGTCCCTTAATTTACAGAAACATTATGTTATCCGCTTCACACATCGGTTTGCAAGAGTGCGTTTCCCGAAAGCTGCAAGATGCCTGTGTGCAAATTATCCTTGTTGAAAAATCGCGTTATTCCAGCTAATAATTATTTGGATTTTTTAAAGTACTCGTATTTACATTTGTGCACACAGCGAAAGAGCAATAAAATTAAATCAGATCAAATATTGTTGTTTCGCGATAGGCATATACAATAAGCACGTAAACACAGAATTAAAAACTTTTAGGCATATAAATTTTTGAAATCCGGCTGTATTACGCTCCACAATGATTCGCTAGAAATGTGCATATCAACAGTGCATAGAAATGGCATATCAACAGTGCATGTGGAAACAGAAGTGGAAGTCTACGAAACTGAAGATGTGCATAATTCGCTAGAAATGTGCATATCAACAGTGCATAGAAATGGCATATCAACAGTGCATGTGGAAACAGAAGTGGAAGTCTACGAAACTGAAGATGTGCAGAGTGTTAACTTGCGGGCCGAAGACAACGCGACGCGGGAAGAGGGCAGGCGTTATAAAAGCATCGGACAATGCTTGCTGTTCAATTTCGATCTAAAAATGTTGGACTGTGTCGGAAAGTTTATTGATGTTCGCGTTGTAAACGCATTTTGTCACCTGCTTAATCAGCACGCGGCAGCGGACCCAGTATTTGTTACCGTCGTAATGCCTCAATATATCTTGCGTTGCCAGCCGAATTACGAAGTGGTAGCCACAGCCAGAAAGCAGTTGGATAGCGGTCGAGTCTTAATTCAACCACTGTTTAATGGCAGTAATCACTTTGTCACCATCAAGTATGACAAAAAAGACGGGGTAAGTCGTACACTTGTTCAAAGAAAACAACATGTTGCTACTTCCCTCAACTGCGTGCATAAAATTAACAGAACTGACGTTACTATGGTACGTAGTGCGTGTTCGTGTTCGATTCTCTCGGTTGGCGTCAAAACGACTGGATCAAAATTCAAATATGGACGCTTTGCGGACGAACCAATCCACTGCGTGTCCAAGTGGTTCCTCTGTTTGCTCAAGGAACTATGTCGAATAACTGCGCCGTTTATAGTTGCGCATATGCCTACGATTCCATGATAAATCCGGAAATTCCATTGGAAGGTATCAGAATTATTTTAAAACTCGCGCTAAAGTAATAAAAATCATTTATACGAAACCCATTGACTAAGCTGCATAACAAATATGTATGCCAGTGCGAATATGCAGGTAGAAATTACGGCGCGGAAAAAGAATTCCGTCAGTGGCTGCGCAATGTCATCACGTCAGAAAAGTTATCCGAACCTCCATCTGAAGCTGGTCGAACAAACAAAACTACAACCGCTCCGGCGGAGCCAGTGTTCACACTAACCTCAGCGTATGTGGAGGATCTTCGAGTTGCCCGAAAGGTGCCTGTCGTCGATGTCCTTTGTGAAAAGAGTGGCAGGCCAGAGTGAAGAAAAGTATGACCATTTGTTTACCGAGTTAGGCAAATACTCTGTAGCTCGATATACAATTCATGCACAAGCACCGGCATTTTCGATGCACAAGCACCGGCATTTTTTTGCAGACAGCTCACCGTGAAGAGCGTAAACAACTGGAGCCGGGATGCCGTTCTGATTTGTTTGGTCTTTTTGGAGTTTAATTTATCACATCTTTAGTTTGCTATTACTTAAACTGAGAGCAAATGGAGTTCGGTTTCGAAATGGAGTTCACTGCGGTCACCTCCACTACCGCTTCCTGCCCAAAGTGGAAGACGACCTGGTCAACTCCCTCAAGTTCCGCAAAGGGATGACGCGCAACTTCTCCAACGGCGCCCCTACCGCTCTCTTTCAACTGCTTTTCTGGCGCTGTCTCCTTTCCGCCATACAGATACTTGCAATTTTAATCTCTCGAAAATTAATATTACCCGCGCTTCGAGCTTATGTTACCATCGTTATTATTGTTTATTGTATTGTTAAATATACGTATTTATTAATCAGCAGTTTTTTTCCAAAATATCATAGAAAAATTTTAAAATATTTCTTACCTTGCATTCATTATTTTTCCGAAGTTGTAAATCCGGATATACCATCGATATCGACGATATGCGCCATTGTTTACTGTAGCCGCGCGATAAGTTTGCACCACTTTTAGATCCGGGCGCTGCCTGCCCCCGATCGGACAGCGCACTCTTTACGCAGAACGTGCTGCAACGTGTGTGACGATTTTCGTATACCACTCTGTGGTGCAAACTTATCGCGCGGCCACAGTAGTCAGTTTTTATATAACGATTAAATAGCTTCGTGCTCATGATTTATATTTGCGTAATATACTTCCACCTCTTTTGTTTATCTGCTCATGCGGTAGTTTAAGTGAAACACTCTATGATTAGTCGGTGGGCGATAGTCGTTTAACTAAAACACCCGAAATACTAAATTCCACAAACCGATATTCTTACAGACTTCATTTCCGATTGAGCAGGATATACCCTTTACAGATTACTTGAAATTTTTAAAGAAGCTCTAAAAGTTTCTTGCAGTTGCGTTGTAAAGAGATCAGTGACGAAATCGTCTTGGCTGCGGCACCGCACTACGCTTAAATAACTGTAGTCACTAATATGGACGGCTGCACCAGCTCCGTGTAAGAAATTTACCTAGATAAAGTAATTTAATTTATTTAAATCAAATTATTTTACTTTAATTAATAATAATTAATAAGTAATAATAATTAATTATTAATTAAATTTAATTAAATTTATTAAATTATTCAAATTAATTAATTAATTAATTAATTTTATTTAATTTAATTTATTTAAATTATTTTTAATTTAGTTTAATTAATAATAATTATTAATCAAATAAATTTATTTTAATTTATTTATTTAAATTTATTTTAATTTAATTTTATTTATTATTTAACTGAATTCAGTTTAATGAGTACGGTTATGAACAAATGAAGAAAGAAGTTAAGTAAACATGAAAAAATGAACTTAATTAACAGTCGCACATATGTGGTGGCGACCGCAATAATTTGAGCGTAGTGCAGTGGCACGCGTGGCGTGGCTAAAGAAATGCGTTTGTTACTGAGCGCTTTTACAACGTAATTTGAAAAAACGGTTCGAGCTTTTCGAAAAATTTAAAGTACTTGTAACGTGGGGCCTTATGGGCGCCCACGTACCTTCGACGGCGAAACAGCGGAGAACCCGGATTGAGGCTTTAATGCCGAAATCTAAGGTGCGCACCGTGGCGCAGCAAACACCGACTAATGAGATCGGATCCTACAGCCAGCGCAGCTGTGCTGTAGGTCCGTCAAACACCACAGAAATGTGTGGGATGGAAATCCCCAGAAACAGCGAAACACAACGGCGAATGGCCAATCGTGAAGGCGGAGCTATCGGCCTTCACATACTCTTCAAAGGGCATTCCTGTTTAAGTTTAATCGGATGAATAAAAAATCTGGAAAGAAAACCGACTTTTGGAATTTATTATTATGGGTGTTTCTACCGTTTTAAAATTACTCATGTTTGCCCAGACCCACTTTCATCTCACAGGGATCCCCTTTAACTCGTTGGCTTATTATAGTGCTTCACTTAAGAACAAGGACAAAACTTCTTTATCCATGTTGACAGGAACATCCATCCATACTTGGTACGTAGCGGTCAAACGCAAATAAAGGGCATTAAACAAAATCAGAGATAAATCACTGTTGTGCATTCTGTAAAAGAGCCCTCAATCTCACTTGCAAATTGCAATTCGAATGAGAATTGCACTGCTGCCCGATGTCCGGTTCCCGTTTTCATTCTTGCTGGCCTTTTAATATTTCTTGACTTTCGAAGAAGCTCGACGCACGAATGAGTGTGAGTTTCTTTGTTCCGTAGAGGCAAAGTGAATAATATTTAAAGTGTCGAGGGAAAATCGAATTCACTGAAAATCAAGCGTAACGGGTTTCCTACTTGGTGGTCGGGGAGCGCTCTGATTTCATCCGATGCTTCAACATAGAGAGGGTATATCGGTAGAAATTAGTACACATGCTCTGTATGCTGCAGCTCCTATCCGTCCCCGACCCCCTATCAAGAACTCGATTACGCTTGCTTTACGGTAAATTCGATTTTGTTCCGCCACTTTTAATATTAATCACTTTGGTAGAGGTTAACAAAATGTTACAGAGTGCTTATAGAGTTATACGTATGTAGTGTTAATATACAAGCCCACTTTCAAACCTGTAGACCGCTGTAAGCGCGACGCAGTGAATAGCGCACAGTAAGGCTAGATTTTATCTACTCTACACTGGATGCACTGGCGTAGAGCATCTCAGTCTATCTCACACTTGTCTCTCTCACACACACCGCAGTGGCGTTAACGACCAACTAGTAGACCCCGCGCAAACTGCGCGGAATAAATCGGCGATAGTTGCTATTTAGGAAAACTACAAACCCAGGACTACAAATGCATTCAGCCTGCATCACACATCATTAATTAAATGGTTTAAAGTCTTTTATTGACAACATTTTCCCGTCCCGCTGGCTGCAGAATTTACCTTCTCAGACCCGAGAATTTGAAATTTTGCAAGAACATTTGACCTTTTAATTTGCAATTTTAAAGAAACTTTTTAAACTTTCCCCCAATCAGTCTGCAGCAAATTCCGGTCAGTTTTCAAGAACTGCATAATTATAAGAAGCACCTCTTTAATTAGTGGAAGGTTCTGCCGTTAAGTACAGTAACGTCGAAACGTTTGTGCCGGGACAGTATAACTTGATTTTTTGAATCATTTATTTGTTTTAAGTTTTTATATTTTAGCCTCTCTCCCTCTCCCTCCCTGCGGACATCCTAAAGGTCAAAAACGACGTTCCCCCTCTCTCCCGGAAAAAAAATCTGGGCCGCGGCCGTCCCCATGGAGCGGTGTTTAGACTAATTTCCTACGACCTGTGAGACGGATGAACGCTGTTTTGCTTAAACACCAAACGCTGTTTTTCTTGAACACCAGAATTCGAAAAGTCGACTCTCAGAGTCTCTGAAAAATGTTTTTATGGCAATTTTGCACGCCAGTAATCACTCATCGTCAGTATAAATCGGTAATTAGTGCAGCAAGGCCAGCACTAAACGTTTTACTAAATCCAACCACCCCGGGGAAGCAGTTAAGATGTTAAATCTAACCAACCCGCTGCGGAAAGCAGCTGTTTTCTCTTTGGAATTTGAGTCGTTCGGACTCCAATTCAGTTTTCAAAATTAAAAGTACAGTATCACTTTTTCAAGCCTTACATTTTTTAAAAACTAACTCTTGATAAACAACTTACGAACTCGAGGCAATCGGAAAACTTCGGATACCAAAGTTGAAGCGCTTCCTAATCCTATACTGTTCTTGACAGTGGGGCCGTGGGTGGGTTTGCAGTGGTGGGTTCTCCACTTTTCCCGTAGACTTTGTATGTTGATTTCGATTAAGATTTTATCTGAAATTTTACGTACTTTCAAAAAACTGACTGGTTTCTTCAAATCTGCAAACTCGCGGCTATTGAATGACATATAGACATCATCAAAGTTTGGTTCAGTGGCTCGCTCAAAAAAGGGAGACAGAAATGGAATTCGCTAAGCCTTATTTTATTAATATTAACTAGTAGACCCCGCGCAAACCGCGCGGAATAAATGTGCAATGAATTGCTGTTTCGGAAAACTACCAACCCAGGTTACAAATTAGTTTTCGGTCAGTAGCACTAAGCCTGCATCACAGTTCACTAATTAAGTTTGTAAAGTCTTTATGGGAAAACATTTTCCCGTCCCGATGGCTGCAAAAGTGACCTTCTTATACCGGAAAATTCGAGATTTTGCAGGAACATGGCCTTTTAATTTGCAGATTTAAAACAGCTTTCAGGGTTTTCTCCAATCAGTCAGCAGCAAATTCCGGTCAATTTTTAAGAACTGCATATAAGAAGCAGCTGGAATTAATTACTGGAATGTTTGGTTCCTTTACATCCTTATTGCCTCTGTGGTCCAGATACGCCTCCGAACCTTGTTAAGTTTCGGTCTGTCCATCGTGACCGGCACAATTATCCCGTGAGACGAACACCGACGCTACCCTTTTACCGTTTAGAACACAACTGCCTCCTAATGCTCAATTTCGCCAAACTGTTTGCTCACAAAAGCAGATTGTTTAGATCGCAAGAAGTCAAAGCGTCAACGCTCGATTACATGATTTTGAATATTTTGTGAAAATGAGTTTCCCTCGTTCTCTGTATGACTTAAATGGATCAGCTGTTGTTTGGACACCGATTAAAACATTGGTTTAAGACACAGTTTAAAACATTGGTAAGCTTTAATCGGAACGGAATTTAATGATAAAGCGGAATGGAATCACTTTTCATCGGAACGGAATAAAAAATATTTTCTATTAATTTTAATTTTCAACCGGATTTCTAACGGATGCTGCTCTTTTAGCCGTAACAACATGCTAATTACATCAACCAGCACAATTAATCCTGTCTATAAAAGCGCCATTTCAAAATACAACCAGCCGGCCACAAATACCGTTGGGAGAGACTTGTTCCCTCTCTTTCCTTTCGGCCGTTTGATATGAGTCTAACTCGCTTACCTATGCCAAAAGACTCCTTCGTAGTCTAACCGAGCAGAATTCCTCTCTTTCCCTTCGGCCGTCGGTTACCAGTCTGACCAGTGTTCCCTAAACGCAAAACATCTTTTGTTTTAAAACAATTGGAAGCGTATACCGCCTCGGCTTCTCCTGACTGATGCAACACTTGCGCATTCATAACGCCAATAAGATCAAATTAACAGCTAATTACGAAAAGCTAGAAGCATTGCAAGGAATGTACGAAAATGGCCATATGATCAAAACAGTCTGCAGTCTGGACATCTTACGTATCACGTTGTCGAATACTGTGCAGTGCGTTTCTGCGGCGTGTACGCCAATCCAGTATGTAACTGTTTTGCAGTTTTTAATATCGGTTTTATTCTTTCTTCTAATACGTACTACAGTGAAGATGTTGTAAAGATCTGGAATTACCGTGTTTTTGTTATTGGGAAATTCGGATTACTAGAGCTTGTTCTAGACACACCACGGTGACCATGACGATGATGACTCACCATAAATTTATCGTTTTTCTGCTCTTTTCGCATCGTTACGGTTGTTACGATAACGATAAAACACCATGCTATCGTTACGCATTTCCGATAGCTTGCAGCTTATAGCAGAACTGATATACTACCGTTCTCTTCCAAGAAATTAGTACAGCAACAATCCTTTAAGTTTTACAACTTTTTAAATTGCAGAAAACACTTCCAAAACATTTTAAAAATATTAATTTTGCAAGTTACTGAAACACCGGAAATAGCATGTATGCTTAAACTGCCGCCCCACAAGCGGCTGTCACGGCTCTGCACTTCCACTCGACACGAAAATCAAAATGCAACCAAGTTGAAATAAATTTATGCCTTCTAAACTTGAAGTGATATCTTGTTTATTATAATATTTTCATCAAATTCTGATTTTTGAAAAATGGAAACCAGTATAGCGATCTCCAGAAGATGCTTTAAGGCACGTCATGATTTGCCTTTGCTTGAACAAGTTCAGCACTACAACCCGTACGCCTCGGACGATCGAGAGGGAGCCTGGAAGTCAGTTGTTGAATCTCTGAATGATGCCAAGGTACGTTTCTCCAGCAGTTGCCTAACATTTTGTAGGCCCATCGTCCCTATTAACGGAAAGACAGTTGCTAAAACCACCCGCTTTGACAGCTATTTGAGAGGCCTTTGGACGTGCGAGCAGTTAAGGAGAGGCTGTCGACCCTTGTTACCAGTTATCAGGCAAACGACTTGCGCAATAAAAGTAAAATTGGAACTGAGGAGCAGTACGGCCGCATGGAACAACTGCTAGATTATATCGCCTCATTAATTAAATCCGCTGCCAAAGAAAAGGAAGAAAAGAAGAAGGCTGCGAAGGAAAAAGAAACACGTCGAGATCGCACAGCGTCTCTGATGCGAGCTGCGGGCGAGACGGGACGGGCTGGCCCTGACTACACCGAAGCAACAGGTATGTGCGAATAGTCCACCATGCAACTTACTTTTACGGCAGTTTTCTTGCGTGTATTTGTGTAATTTTTCCTTAACGATATTAAATTGCACAGAATTATTTATCATAGTGATAATGCTCTGATATCTTATTTACAGAGAAAATGGATAAGGAGACCTTCTTGCGTGAAACTGGTTTGGACGAACGTGACTGGGAAGAAGAGCTACGCACCAAACGAGCCGTTTCTGTCGCTGATGATTTGGCCTCTTCGTCGTCTTCCAGTGCATTGCCGTCATCGCGAAACGCCAGCAAAAAGTCTGAGGCTGAAACTGACATGAAATGGATGGAATTTTTTCGCGAACAGGAAGAGAAAAAATTGCAATTTGAAGAAAAAAAAGGCTGATCAAAAAGAGATTAGACTAAAAGAACTGGAACTTGAAAAGTACAAGCTTGATATCGAAAAACTCAGATATGAAGCATTTCTACATAACAAGTTTAGTCGATTAAAAATTAAAAAATAATGTAGCGGTTTTAATTTATCGCAAATATTCCTGCAGCGTAGGTGGTTCGGTATAAAAAAACTGACTTGCTTCGTTAGGATACATGCAGTTTATACAGTTAGTTAGTAAAACAGCTACTCTAAACATCTTGTTAATTGGCTTCTGTAATAGCGCCATCTGCTTTTTAAAGTCAACAAACGCAAATTTTGCAACGACTTCTTTGAATCCCCATTCAACGCTTTCGCGTACTGTTTTCATCGCATTGTTCTGCACGCTTCAGGAGGTTAGTACGCACTTCCAGCTTCGAGAACGGCTTCCGCAAGAACGTGTTGTTTCCATAACCTTGATCTCCGTAGAGTATAAACTTTCGCTGATAAGTTCTCTGCTTCTTCTCCAGCTGCTCTAAAAGCCCGCTCTCCCTAAACATGCGGCTATCATGCATGGTGCCGAGCTGCCCTCCACTTAGACTGCAGATTAAACCGTTGGGGAGCACAACAGATTGCCATTTTGTACAGTGAAATCGGTTGTATCCACTGTACATGATTTCTTGATTCACCGAAGGACGGCAGATGGGACGTGCAGTACCATCAATAAACCCGAAAACATTAGGGATGACTCCTCCTTTCCCCGCAATTGCAGTCGCGTACAATGCAAAAAAATCTTCTGATAGCCAGTCGTGATCCCATGTTGATAGATGATTTTTCCATTGGATATCAACAGTATTCAAAATGGCATAAAATATCCTTGACAGGGACCCGTGAGAACGACCAAACAGCTTTCTTAAATCAATCCATCTGTTAGGATATGCCAGACGTCAAAGTAGTATGCACAGAGCTTCTATCCCAGAAGCATGGTCTCCTGTTGCTGTCACAACCAAATCTGGAATTTTAAGGCAAACACGCAAAGTGGGGATATCATCCTTTCTGAATCGAAAATAATCCCAACACTCTTTCTCGCTGCAGTTCTTTAGACGAAAAGCTCTTTCGGTCCAGTTATTACGCTGCTCTACTCGCCTTCTGTTTCTTATCAAGCGCCGACGCAGAATCACAAATAATTTCAAAGAAATATATTTTTTTAGTACAAAAGGTAAAGAGTGGATCTCTTCATTTTTACAAATTTCTCAAACAAAAGACTGCAATAATTTATTTAAAAATTTGAAGATCTCGACAGCTTGTTGATAGACGGATATCGTTATCGTCATGAATGCCGAACAAGCAAAAATCGGAACGATCACGATAACTACCGCCACGGTTACCGTATTATGTGTACCGTGTTATTCCAGAACAAGCTCTACTGTTATATACAACAGCGTTATTCCCGTACCATGTCCGGTAACGACATCTACCTCGAAGATGTCAACGTAATGTAAGCAAAATGTGGTAATCTCTTCTTTTACAAAATAAATTCACATAGCTTAACGACAAGTAATTAATTTTTTCTTCATGTGTAATAAATTTGCTAATTAGGTGCTAAAAAAACCAGGTGCGAAATTACTAATTAGGGGCAGATTCGCTAATTAATTAGCTGCTAAATGTATGCTAATTAGGCGTGAATGACTCTGGTTAGTTCATCAAATTTTCGCTCAATTACTAATTATTAGGTTAATTAATTAAACCTTATTATCTTAAAACTTAATGACGAACTACAGTAAGCACAGCGTAATTAGATACAGTTTAATGCAGCCTGGCTCACTACGAACGTTTATTAGCAGCGAAGGATAAATTTAAAGAGTTGACAAGCGATCATGAATGTGAGCGCGAATTATAAAACCGAGCTCAACAGCTCGGTTTTCTAATTCAGCAACTGAATCTCCATCTGACCAATGCGCGCGGCGTTATCAACGAATCTGTCTGACTCACAAATCAGTGCGTGAGTTGTTGCGCACTCGAGAGTTTTGACCGAGATACAATTCGCATCAGAGTCCCAATACGCGCCATATTTGAGAGCAACTCATTTTGGTATTTAATATCTCGGCAACCGTATGTTGCGCGCGCGCAAACGGTTTCCAGAACAATGTATGCAAACCATTTAGCTTTAGAAAGACATAAAGTACTACAAAGTTATGTTTTAGTGTATGTTTTTTTGTATTTTAGTGTATGTAATTATGTTTTAGTGTGGGAATATTTATAAAAGTATTTTCACAGGCAACTGTCCACAAGGCGTGGCTTAAAACAAATATTTTTTTTACATTCCTTAGTGAAGCCCGTTTGGGGCGCGCATTTCAGTTTTTGTAAATCTTTTCGCAGCATGTTCGTGCAACAATGCAGCTGCAAGAAAAGAAGCTGGTTAAAGTGGATCCATGACTGGAAACATCGGGCCCTTTTCGAGTAGAGGCTTGTGAGCCAGATTATACGGATTCAAAGTGCTACGGGTGTGACAGGAAGCTATGTTCTCATGATGTACTTAAGTTGGTTCTAGTGCGCAATGAACCGCACTACATGAAGGGCAGAACCGGGTCGGCGAGGACGGCCACACCAGTTCGTCCAACCACATACCATTTCAACCGAGCATGCGTCCGAAAGCGGCACGGGGATTTCGTGCTAAGCAGTGCCTCCCGTTTCACCAACACAATTCTTGAAAATTGTGATTTGGACGAGGACGACCAAGAAGTCCTCCAGAAGTTCATCGAATCTTGCCGGAAATGAGGTAATCATTTCCGTAAAGCCGTGAATGCTTATAAAATGTAAACGTATTAATGGTAATAGTTTGAAGTTACAACAAGCTTACAAATCATAATAATAACATAATTAGAGCCAAGGAAGTACTTATATCGGCTGCATTTGTAGGAACGATGTGATGGACCGCAATATAACAGTTTGTATTTCGCCCAGACTGAACATTCAGACAAATTTTCTTTAATAAGTTCCTTCATTAAGTGCTATCCCTGCATTCTATTACTAAATTAGATAACATTTTTAACACTGAAATAATCAGCTGTCAACCATGAAAATTGTGTAAAGAAAAATACCGGATTTGTTGACAAAGCGCTGCATTTTACAATAACTAACCAAATGATTTTCTTTCGTTGTTTATGAATTTTTTCAAAAAATTTGTTGACGTTCAGTCTGGGTTTGTGGTATCCTGCTCCTGCATTTACGTCTCCTCACATGGGATGGATATTTGTTGATGACGCGGCTTATGAGACATCGTTGTATCAACTAAACGTCGGGGTCATTTGCTTATTCAATATATATTTTCACAAATAATTTTTTTTTTGTTTTGCAACGGTTTTGGTTGTTTGATTTGCTTATGATATGATTTTGGAACTGGCCATGCAAATATTTTTGTGTTAAGCAACGACAGCGGTTTATATTCCGTGCAAATGTTTTCCATAATTAATTACCTTGCAGCATATTAACCCGATACTAAGGCACCTTCAGTTTATGCGGATATGATTGTCAAAATTTTCAAATAAAAACGATTTCTTACGTGAAATACTTACGAACTGAAAAGTAGTGTCACCGGAGCGCAGTTAAGTACATAATTTCGACTACTGTACCTGACAGTTTATGAACTACCGCCTGGATTACATATGAATTTAGAATTTGCCACTTTACAAAATACTACGCTATTCCATTCCGCAGGAACATTGTTCCGTTCCGCTTAAAACATAATATTCCGTTCCGACTGAAATTATTATTCCGTTCCGTATTCCGAAATTTTATTCCGCATATTAGTATTCCGTTCCGAGAATGCATTCCGTATTCCATTCCGACCAAAGGTGTAGGCCCTATCATGTACTGTCGTGGTAGGACGAAAGCAGCAGCCGCGGATAAGCTGAATACAGCATTAGAGAAGGCAGCCGCCTGGTTTAAAACCAACAGTCTGGTGCTGAATGTGAAAAAGTGTGTGGGCAGGTTTATTTGTTCAGAGAGGAACAACAAGACGGAAGCGAATCCGCCAGTAATGCAACATATCTTGGTGTCGAAGTGGACCAGCACCTGAAATGGGACAAGCAGTATCAAAAAGTGAAACGAAACATTAATTTCGGCATATAGAAGATCAAGAGAGTCAGAACCGGTCTCAGCATCCCTCAGCGAGCCACCCTTCACCACACCTTCGTTGAGCCGTACATGGATTACTGTGCACTGGCTTGGTCAACGGCGTCTTCGGGAGAGCAGAAGGAGCTGAAGAAACTGCAAGACGCGGCCTTGCGGACCATCACCGGCGGCAGTTGTCGGATAACACCACAACTGTACGAGCAGCTGGGCATCACACCAGCGACTGGCCGATGTCGGCAAAAGGAAGCGGTATGGCTTTACAAGATACGTAACCGGAGCAGTTTTATTATGCCGTCTTACATGACCAACCTGCTGCCATTCAAGGAAACGAGTGCGAGGTCCGAGCTTCGCCGTACAGAGCGGATCGATGCCACCACACGGCTGTGCATCGGGAAGACAACCCTGAAGATGAGGCTGAAGCAGTTGTCTGATAAAATAACGGGGAGAATGTTTACTAAAATTGTTGATGGTAAGACTAAAAAACTACGTGGGGAAGAGGTGTTCGGTTGTGGTTCTATTGAACTTTACCTGGCTACTTTACGTTCAAATAACCTTCTGTAATATTATGCTACCCCGACTGTTCTGTCAACTGAATGTTGTTTTTTTTATTGTTGTTCTTATTATTATCTGACCAGACTAGCGAGTGCCTCAAGGTTTGTCTGCTCTTAAATAAACTAAACTAAACTAAACTCACTTTCTTTGCATGCAACTTTCAGACGCTCGCGCTCCGTGAATATCGAAGTGCAACTAAACTAATTGCATATCAAAAAGTGTAGAAAAAAATTTTTAACTTTTTGATGGTAAACATGTGGCTGTTTATGGCGAACATCACAAATTCTAGCTAATTTGCTTTCTCGTAGGCACAGCATAGGATCTGTGCGCAAAACCGTTTGGCTTGCAATCTTTGCTTAAGTCTATGGAAAAAACAAACACTGATAA